GTTTCCTGCGAGCAATGCGCTGCTTAAGGGCGCGGGGGGGATCGCAGTACTTCCTCTTCAAAAAAACAGGAAACGCCTGGAAACGCCTGCATGTCTCGGTTTTCCAAATTCTAACTCCAGTACGAAACTACCATCGCAAATTAACCGTCCGCAGCGGTCGCTTGTGTACAATGTTAGTAGCTGAGGTTGTACCCCTTGCGATACACTACAGACTAGCGGTCCGCGATTTTCCAAACGATCCTTCTATCATCGAGTTCGGTGAGCTACAAGCTAGATTTTTGAAGCTGCTGTGCGGTCCAATTTTGAAACGCTTCAAGCACACGGTGAACACGAATCACCGCCTATGTGAGTGTATGGGGCCGCGAACTTCAGCGCAGCTCTTCCCTCATATATCCAGCTGGTCGCCATTGTCGATTTGAATGCCTAGGGTCATGAATATGCATGTCCAGCCTTTAGGCAAAGGTGCTTGAAGCGTTTCACAATTGGACCGCACAGCAGCTTCAAAAATCTAGCTTGTAGCTCACCGAACTCGATGATAGAAGGATCGTTTGGAAAATCGCGGACCGCTAGTCTGTAGTGTATCGCAAGGGGTACAACCTCAGCTACTAACATTGTACACAAGCGACCGCTGCGGACGGTTAATTTACGATGGTAGTTTCGTACTGCAGTTAGACTTTGGAAAACCGAGACATGCAGGCGTTTCCTGGATTTTTCAGAGGAGGTACTGTGATCCCCCCCGCGCCCTTAATCCATGATACATAACATGCCCCTACTATTTCTTGGCCTACACCCGGTAGTTTCGGCGGTTTCGTCGGCCAACGGTCCTTCTTGAAATCTTGAAATACGCCGTGTCCCAATATTGTTACGACGGCGACTCCGCGTAAGCTTACGCTGCAGCACCGTCTCATGCTGTAGCGACACCTGTTCCTTGCTCGAACAAGCCACACCTGCAAAAACTCAAACTCTACCGAAATTTCCCCCATATGATTTAAGAGAAGGTCATGTTTGCATCGTCCGTAGCGTTCGAAAGCAAGGTTGAAGATACTGCCGGCATGTAGGATCACGTGGTGCACAGGATGTGCCCTCGAAGTGATTCGTACTGATGAAGTCTCAACCTAGTTAGGCGTGCCACGTTCTTGATAGACCGCCAACCATTCAATGCTGCTTTCGTCAAAGACCCAAACGTTAACGTATGGAATAACGTCGTGTATGGGCCTACTGTACCTTGGTTTTTCCGGGAGGGAACGCCTGGCTAAACTGGTGTGATATGCAGTATTTTCGGCCTTAACAGGTTCATCGGTTTGTACCCGTCTAACGGGGCGATGCGTTTCCCCCTGACACTCCTGTTTCGATTTCAGGAGGCTGAGTTGCTCCAAGAACCTGCTGTAAACCCAGCGGCAAGCGAAGGCAGTAGCTGGGCGCCGCAAAGTTATCCGGACGGGGCGGCGGCTGCCGGAAACTTCGCCGAGAAGGATGAGAATGCCTCGGCAGCTGTGCATAGCGCTGCTGGTGGTATTGGTGATGGTGGCGGCAGCGACAGCAGCCAAAAGGGCGACATTGCAAGTAGCAGCGCCGATTGCGACGCAGAAAGGCCCCGTCCACGGAGGGAAGAGGATTCTTCTTCGTTGGACGGAGTTATCGGTTTCGCTGAAGCGCCGGGGGGGTGGGAAGGTTCCCACGCCGGCGTATTTTCTCCGGCTACGACAACGGAAGAGGCGGCGGTGGCGGCCCGGCGACAACAAGAACCCCTCCCTCCCGAGCCGTACCGTAAAGGAAGTATTGGGACCCACGCCGGAAATGGTATTGGCGTTGTTCCAGGTTGTGGTGTCATGTCGGCGTCGGAAGGGGGGCTGTCGCCTCTAGACAGAAAAATCGGGGATTTCTCTGCGGGCTTCGGGTTGGCGGCCCCTTCTCCTGCGGCCGCCGCCGTCGCCCCTGCTTGGTGCGCGGACAGCTCTAGCCTGGAAGATTTGGTGTACTGGACTAGGGGGCTTGACTACGACGCCGCCGTGAAGGGATTTTGATTGACGCATTGCCATTGTTGAAGAAGTAGGGGGTACACGCGCTGGAAGACATCCCTCACGAAAATCCCGTACATGAGTCACGATGGGATAGGTAATATCTTGGACACACGGTCATGTGTCGATGTCACCTGCAAAAGGATGTTGCGCTTTTTCGCGACACCACTTGGAATTTCGGGAATTGACATGTGTGTGGCTTCGAACCACTTTTGGATTGGAAGACGACCGACTGAAGTCATATGCTGAGCTGCGTGAGGCACACATGGGCTTGGTAGAAGAAGCAGAACGGCATGTTGTAGTTTCCACTCCGGATGGATCCGTAATTTTGTAATTTTGGGCCTTCCCTAATAAAGGCCGTACGTCGCCGTTCCTCGGCGTTCCGTGTGTGTGGAAAGCATTGAGCATACTGTGGGGGGGGTTGGCAACACATGCGATGGAGAAACAGACATGGAGCTACCCATGCCCATAGCGCTGGAGTGCACTGCTGTGCGTATGTATTTGCACTCATCACCCTCGAACAGAGGAACATTTCGCGGCAGGGGGGTTAGTTGGGAGGCATAATTAACGATTAACGCCATTTGGGTGCACCTGAAAACTTCGCGATGTTCCCTTCCGTTTCTGTACGAGTCAGGTATTATGGCATCCCTTCGGTGTGTAACTTTTTTTTTTCATTCCTTTCGAAAGCGACAAATGTACCGGGTATCCCCCATCGTGGCACAGTGGAAAGTGGACAACCGCTATGTAAGCAATGACTACCGCTGGCGCTCGAACATTGGCACGCCTCGGCTATCAAGGAAACCGAATACAGAGCACTAGAACTTTCCTTGCCTTCCGGTACTGCCAAAGTTGCGCGAGCGACAAACTGCGCAAAACACCTTGGTACCGAACAGCCTTGTTCGGCGCCGTGGGAGCACGCGTAGATGATATGCTACACGAACGTCCCACACGCGACTGACCCAAACCACAACCTCTGCCTAAATCCACCCACTCCTCGCGTCAAGTCGACGATAAAAGAACCACCATAATGAACTTGACCAGAGAGAGAGAGAGGCCGGCAGTCAGTCTCGACAACGATGACGAGGGGGGCGCTAGAGAAGGAAAAATCAAAACCACAACAAAGAAAGCACCAGCAACACTCAGCCGCCAAAAAGGCCTCTCACCGGAACCCCAAACAAAACCCCTTTCGCCCTCCCACACCGACCGAAGGCGGATCGGCTGTACGCCCGGCCAATCCCCACTCTACAATACAACACAGGTTTTCCTAATGAGAGTGTTGCGCTTACACGGCACCGTGCGCTCTGCCCCATTTCTTTTCTAACCTCGGTGGCCGAATCCTTGATCTCCCCTCCACAGGGGCCAAGGCGACCAGCGAGCGGAGAACCCACGCCTGAAACACGCACACCACAACAACCGGTAATTTCCTACTAATACTAAGCTTTTGTTCGCCCTCATTTTTCTCGATGGTATAGCCTACTCGGAGCGTTTCACACAGCACACCTTCCCCTACCCACACCACGAACGAAAACCCCATCAAGACGTGAAAACCCACAAGAACCCCCCAACACACACGGGTTTGTCGTGGTATGGCGCTCCCATTCTCCCCTCGTCACACCGCGCGATTTTTTTTTCTTTACTTCTAAAACGACGTTCCAACTAATCGAGTACAACTACACACCCAAAATCTTCTCCGACACGGTAATGTCATCTCTCGGTCCGACCAAAACGGCCCAGAACTTCTGCTACCAAGTACCCGCAGAAACAAAAGTCTCTAGCCCCCCCCCCCCCTTCCTCTCCGTTGTACGGAGACTCGACTTGGCTCGGATCGCAGGCGCAACTTCCTCACGAGCGCAGCAGACGACCCACCCATCGCCTGCCGGCAGCAGCCCCCCCCACGAGGCAGCAGCGACGGCAGCAACAGCAGCAGCAGCAGCAGCAACAGCAGCAGCAAGGACGCCCACCCCGCCCTTCGTTCCCCGCCGGCTACGCAAATGCCTTGTTTTCCCCTTTGACACTCTTCAACGACCCCCAAAACAATTCAAGAATCATGGCAGGACGTACTTGTGTCGGCGTAGCAGACACCAACAACCCATCTGCTCTCTCACCCAACCTTCCTTTGGTTCTTGCCTCTTTTCTCTTTTCGCTCTTCTGACACCAACCACCAACAACGCAGCAGCAGAGCATCCACCGCTAACTGCCGGCGTATGGCAAAGCCAACACCCACGACCAACAGGTTCAACACCACAGTGCCAGTCTTCTCTTTTAAGCCAGTCAGCTGTCTCGTTGCGGCAAGACAAAACAACACCAGCGTTGCGCAACAACCACGTGAATGGCAAGCTTAGCTCAAGACTCAACAATCGCGTTGATTCCCGCGTTCGCACTGATCGTGGTTTGCGGTGGTGAGCAAGTCAAGTTGGGTATAGAGGTGCGCGCATAGCCCCCCTCCCGTCCCCCCGGCAACCCACACCCAGTCCACTCACAACAACAGAATCAGTAACATCTCGATATTGCCCACTCTTCGCCGCGTTTGTTGTTTTCGGCAGGGCTGGGGTAATCAAAAAGAACAAAACGACAACAAGCAAAGCTTCAACATTCACGAACTGAAGCTACACCTCATTTCGTCCACGTCTTGTACAAAGTCGTCGGGAGGAGTTGGCTGGAGGCCAAGTCTCAATCAGCACAGGAAAAAAAAAAACCGAAAAACGAAGGCCTTGTGCTACAGGCATATTGTAAGCTCAAGCAAAATCTCCAAGCAGACCAGTCGCTTGCGGTGTGGGGACTGACAAGGCGCAGCAGCGGGTAAAAACAAAACAAAACAGAGAGTCAGAACGTCAAGACTAGGGTCAAGCACACCACACCCTACCCAACCGGAAGATCCCTCGTACACACTATAGTATAAGTCATTGTCGCCAGGACGGACTCCAAGATCATCACAACAGCAGCCGCGGCAGCAGCAGCGGCGGCGGCGGCGGCGGCGGCAACTCAATTGCTCGCGATGTTGGGCTTGCGGGGAAGCGTGGGCAGGTCGTCGATGGCCACCGCCAGGAAGCGTTCACCGAGGAACTTCTTCTTCACCGCCACCAGGTGCCGCTGGGAGGCCGTCACCGGCTCGTCCAGCAGGAACTTGATCATCAGGCGGGCGCAGCACTCCAGCCCTTCCCGCGGGGTGTTGCAGAACTTGGCAAGCGCGTCCGGCTGAGGCATCGACAGCAGCAGTGTGACAACGGTAACGGGGCGGAAAGATAAGCTACTTGCTACCGAGAGGGGGGGTACGGTAAAAAGGAGGAGGGGGGGGGGGGGGCAGCACATAGTGACAAGGCTGCATACATTAGGTTGCGGTTGACTCTCGTGAGAGGGGGCAACCACACAAACGTGTGCTCGGTGTCTGTCTTAGCGACGGCAGCGGTGCAGCACTGCGAGGAGTGCGCGTTGGGCAACGACAGACGCAGATAGATCACATTCGTGTCTGGAATAGCGTCGCAGCATGCATGCTTGCAGACCAGTAGACAACGAGAAGACTCCCCGTGAATAGTCTGCACCTGTAGCAGCGTGTTACCCAAGCATCGAGCTCACAGCGTATAACACGGGCGTCCACACCTCTCCCGCTTACTTATTGTACTTCTTCTCCAGTTCCTCACCCATGCGTTTTTGATTCCGGAGTCAGGGATCCTTGCCAGGAACACGGACGCGGCGGCGAGCATGGAGGGCCGGAACGAGAGCGCTTCGTGCTCCTGGAGACACCGCTCAAGGTAGTACTGTGCGCGGTGGTGCTGTCGGTCGGTGGCCTTGGCGATCTACCACGGAATAAAAGTCAGCACGTACAGCAGCAGCACCCATGAACAGAGCCATGCCGGCGTGAGGAAATAATCGCTCGGCATCGGGTGTATTAACAACATGTACGAGTTTCATACGCGTGAGAGACGATGCCTCAGAAGCACACATGGGGGCGAGAGCCAAAAAAAACGAAAATACGCACGTCCGTCAAATCAAGAACTTTTCCAACACTCATATCATGAAAAAAAAAATCCACCCCGATTCATTCAAAACCGAGCGCCTACATAGCCCTCCGTGCAACACCCAGTCCCCACGAGGGCAGATGGCCAGTACTACAACTGCCGCAAGGCTTAGCTGGCATACCTTGAGGAAGCGCACGAGAAAGGTCCACTGCGTCGGCACCGTCAGCTCGAACTTGAGTCGGCGCAGGATCGTTTGCTCCATCTCCAGCACTTCCTCTCGCGTATAGGCGTGGTCAGTGATGTACACGCAGTCCCGAACCTGATGTCGGCGGATGTTTCGGTGATGCTTACAATAGTACAAATTGAACTTTGATGTATGTACGTGGTTTGCCGCCGGCCGAGCGAGTGGTACGTGCTGAGCTTGAAATCCCCGAAAAATAATAGTACGAAGTCGTAAGGAATCATGTTCCGTGCTCGGTGCACATGCACAGATCGTCGCTGCCGTGAATATCCCAAAAAGGCAAAACGAGGAGACAAACACAGGCACATTCTGGCCACATGCACCCGTGCGCAAGGAAGAGACCAAAAGAACAAGAAGAGAACGGCCGAGATCAAGCCACTTAAATGTTAAGAGCTCCAAGTGTAACTGGAGCAGTCTGCACACACCCCCACCTGTCCCACCCATGAAGTAGACACGCAAGAGCCGTGTACGTTTAGTTGCATAAATTGTAGCTGGAGCAGTCAGAAACCCCCGCCAGTATCTTTCCCACACATAGAGCCCCCCCACCCACCTCGGTCGGGAAGATCTCCTCGTACTTGCAGGCGATCAGCAGGGCGGTGACCCCGACCAGCTGCAGCTTGCTTCTGTGCACGTTCTCCTGCATGCAGAAGCGGTCGATGATGTGGCACGTCAGGTACAGCGTCGGGTCCGCCAGCTTGAACTTGAGGTGCACCTCCACGATCCAGTCGATCAGGATGGCGCGCATCTTGCAGTTGATGTCGACCTGCGTGTGCATGTACACGGTCGGGGTGTACTTCTCCTGCGAAAAGTATGAATTACCGCCAAGTTTGTTGTTGCGGCGCACGCAGAAAGGAGGAGGGGGGAGGAGGAGGAGAGAGGGTTAAAAAATCAATTGCTTCACGACATGAGGAGACAGCAACACCCCAAGAAACATGAGAACCAAACAGACTGCTGTGTGCTCGAAAGAAAGGGGTCTTGGCGGACGCAATACATATCTGGGGACAGGGGCCCCGTAAGAAGCGCGGCAGCCCCGGCAAGCCGGCACAAGTCAAGCAGATAGAACCTCGAGATACAACCAGTTGGGCGACGTCTCTTGTGCGGAAGATCGCATGAGTCTAGATCCACGAATCCCTTATCAGAGGACTGCTGGAGGAGTATGTAGTGCGGTTTCAAATAAAAATGCTGCGTAGACACGAGTCAGGCGGTGGCTCCCGTAGGTAGTTAGGCGGCCGGACCTTCATGTGCCCGGTTTTCGGCAGGACCCTCGAAACTCTTACATTGATTGAGTATTGACTTTTGAGTTATCGATGCCTGTGCATCGTGCGGTATCTGAAGGGATACAACACGAAGCACGTTTCCCTTCGGACTCAGCACCCTACTGGGGGCTTGCAAGTGTGCACGAGCAGGCTTCCGTATGCATACAAGCATAGCATGGGTTTTGACCTTCCCGACCTTTACAAGGATCCATCCAAGGTGAACGACGATTTCAAATTTTAAAATTGAAAAGCGGCAAAAGTAGCGTAGGGCCACACATACACGTCACATCTGTTTCTAAACGTACACCGCTAGGTGTTTGTTCCGACAAGATCAAACACGGGCAGCGCGTGCAGCAGCAGTACATGCGCCTCCACTGCACGCTTGTTGCGAAAACGTACCAAACACGCGCGATTTTCAAAATTTCAATTTCCGCCGCGTTTGTTAGTGCATATACATGCCGAGAGAGCGTTGACCCGGCAGGCCCCCTTGTTTGTGAGTGTGTGCGCGTAGCACAACAAAACGCGATCCAAAGATCACGGCCTTTCATCACACTCTCCCCGTTATGACACCATCTTATCTACGGAGGAAACGACTTGGACCGACGCATCCATCCGTACCTCTAGCTCCTTGTATCGCTTGTACATGTCCATCGCGTACTCGGCGCAGGCGATGGGGTCATCCCTATCGACGACGTCGTGCTCGGAGACCTCGGACGGGGGCACCTTACATCTCTTCAGCCGCGCTTCCCTCGCCGCCGCCTCCGCTATCAAGGACGCGGTTGCCGCCGCCGCCGCCGCCGCCGCCGCCGCTAACCCCTCGCTGCCGCCGCTTCCCTTCCTGCTGCTGCTGCTCCTGCCGGCGTGTGAGGGAGCGGAGGCGTCTCGGCTTGCCCGCCGCGGCGCACGAGTTTGCCGCTGCCGCCGGCCGTCGTGCTCCTCTTCTTCCTCCTCTTCGTCTTCGCCTTCGGAGACAACGGCGGTGCCGGCAGCGGAGGACGAGGAAGCCGAGGACGCTTGTTGGCGGCGGTGGCCGCTGGTAGGCCGGGGAGGAGGATCTTGGGCCGCCGCCGCCGCCGCTACCCCGCTGTCCGATGCTTTTCGCTTTCGCTGCGAGTGTAGGGCAGTGACAGGCGGCAGCTGAAGGGTGTCAGAGCAGAGAGAGGATCAAGGATACGCTGCTGTCGCGCATCAACGGAGAGAGAGAGAGAGAGAGAGAGAGAGAGGAACGGCGCCTGCCTCCGTTCCTGAAGTTTGAAATAAAAACGATTTCAAAAATATTAGATGGGCGGACGAAGCAAAGCAGGTTTTCACAGCAGCAGCAGAGCAGCAGTTGGCGAAACCAACCAAGCATGTGCACACTTTGCCGTGCCCCAGGGCTATCCTGTGTCTCGCTAGTGTATTGCAACCAACCCAGCAACAAGCTTGGCATCTCACCGTTTTCCGTGCGCCAGGCTTCGACCCAGCACCTGCTCCAGCAGCAGCACCACTTCCTTGGTTGTTGCCAACGGCGGCGCTGATGTCTGCGAGCGCGGGCCGCCGGCGCAGCCTCATCTTTCTCGGCGCGGCCTCAGCCGCGTCTTTCCTAGCGCTGCTGCTGTTGCTGCTGCTGCCACCGCCGCCACTTTCCGTGGCTGCTTTCCTTCTGCCGCTAGACCTCGCCATGCTTTGAAGTGGATGCCGTTGCTGCTGTGCTGCTGCTGTTGTCGATTTACAACAAAGCCCGTTGAATTCCCTGGACAGTCAAGTCAGCGTGAATTTTCCAAATTTGACCAACTGACAAAAAAGAGGGCGAGGGAATTTCCTGCCAGGGGACGCGCTCAATCTGCTGTCCACTAGTCAATGCTGGATAGCAGGAGAAGGAGCAGCAAACTATCACAGCGTTCGGCGCCGTGAAGAAGTCGTTGAGTGAGTGGAACCTGGAAAGATGGAGTACTGGCAGACTGGCAGCGTTGGCATGGCAACTCACAACTCAACTGCTGGAATTTCCGCCCGCGTAGCCCCCGTACCATGCGTTCTCATCCACCGTGCCCCCTCTCTAGGATCACATTTGCTGTGGCGTGCGTCGCAGCCTGTTGGTTGACTGAGACAAACCTGTAGGCTGTTGCAGGTGGTGACGCGCCCACGCACCACACGACAGACCATGCCTTCTGCTGATTCCGGAGGGCTGGCCCAGCTGACAGCCGCAGAGTTGGAGTTCATTGCCGAGGATGCGCTCATCGAGATCGTTCCCAAATTCAAACACGGCCCGCTGCATCTGATCCAAGGCGACTTCGGTCCCTTCGTGCCACAGGCACGGGCGAAGGTGCCGCTGTGGCTGGCTATCACCCTCAAGAAGAGACAGAAGTGAGTGTGGTGTGCTACGTATGGAGCATCGATGCTATTGTTTCATGCATTTTGGTTTGTGAGAGTTGTTTACAAGCTCCCATTTAGTAAGACAAGTTTGAAATTTGAAACCATGTGCACACCTTCGTCATATGCCGCACGTTAGATATCACGCCTCGTTGACTGGTATTCTAAGCTCGACTTTCTCGATAACTAGGACAACAGTGACTCTGCGCCGAAAACGGCGGCGTTGGAACCGTCTCGCCGAAGGCATTCAGATATCGTACGATTTGATTTCGGCATCGTCGTGGGTAGCTGAACGTGTTTTTGGTCCAGAGGGTGTGGTATCTTACGCAACCTACGGTACTTTGAATTGTCGTTCACGAACATTGATGCATACAGAAGTAGAAGCATACAACAGTTTGTGAGTTTTTACCGACGGTGGGGGTCGAACCCAGAACAATTAGGTGCATGTCCTGCCGGAGAGAGAATAGCTCCGTGTTGATGGTGGTGGGGTTTCCCCTCGCACTGCAAGCGGCAAAAAGCTCAGCAAATGTGCGGTGAGTTGTATATCCGACAGGTCGTTGCGGCAGCTTGTTGCAGTCCGCCATTGTAGTTAACGAAACGCCCCCACCTTCCGCCCGGGCGAGGGGGATTTTACCATAGTGTCCAAACGTAGGTGCGACACGTCACGGCTCCTCAATTTGTAGCCGTCCCCGTGTCCACCCTTTGCTGCAACACACCACAACATATCACACAGCAAGGCGATTGCCGGATGCCCACCCTCGTCGTACCCGGGACAGACTTTGTCATGATCTGAATACACGGCTCCCGGCGTACAGCAGGATACATCGAGTACTGACTATGTCTGGACCTCGCTGAAAATGCACGCCTGAGCGAACCCCACACGCTCTTTCTTCTCCCTCCGCATCAAACATCAAATAGTCTAAGCGCTAAGGCAAGCAACACGTGAATACGCCCCCCCCCCAGCATCGAATATCGCGACCTCAGCAAAGCAACGAAAACAAACCAACACCAAAATGACGGCACACTCATTCGGCACCCAACTCTCCAGGTGCCAGATCGCGTGCCCCTCCTTCATGTCGGTGGGCTACCTGGAGCAAGTGCTCCGGAGAGAGAGAGAGGACGCCGCGGTCTTCACTCCCCTGCCGCACCACTACCTGGAGATCGCGAGCCTGCTGCTCAACACGGCGTCTGACGACATCGGTGGGTTTGGTTGGCGTTAGGCGCGCCGTTTCTCCATCCCACACTGCTGTCTGCTGCTGCTTTGACTTGTGGTTCGAAGGACGCTCAACAAGGGAAGGCGGGCCCTTGGTGTCGCATGTTGTTTGAACTGTTTTTGTTTGTTTCGCTGCTGGCCCGAGATGCTGATCGTATACCCACGTGCAGTGGTAGAGAAATGCCACGAACCCCGCTGCTAAACACGACGCGTGGACGAGCCGAGCTACAGCATTGTCACGGACTGCAACTACAATCAGTTTCAGATACGGCTTCTAGGTAGCGGCTTCTCTTGGTCAGCGAGTTGCCCTGTGCGCCATTGTCTTTTACCCCCGAATCATCGCAGAGATCGCCTGCCTGCTGCACAATCCGACGGCGCCGTCCGTCAGGTGTGGTGGTGGTTGTTGTTGGTGGTGATGGTAGAATACCTTCTCATGAAAAACACGGGTCAGCCTGTGCCCCCCGGCCCCTCTCTTTCTTGTCGTGTCTCGCCCTTACCGGTGACGGGACCTCCCTTGCGGTCAACGGGGCAACCCCAACTATCCGTTGAGAGAGAGAGAGAGAGAGAGAGAGAGAGCAGGGAAGGGCAAGAGAGATGGTCGACGTTTTGTGCTCCCGTTCTCGCCGCCAATGGAGATCCGAAATGTGCTTGTCTGTGAGATATTCACACGGAAACAAGGGCTGCCGCCCCTTTTTCCTGCGGAGGGCACGCGGGTACATGTACAAAGGTTATGGGGATGTACCAATAATGTTGCGGTGGTCAACTGGTGTCCGTGGTTTTGTCGACGGAGAAAGTATGGTGCGTGCACGACCTTCTCAGCGTCAACGACTGGTTGGTGTTTCTCCACGTAAGGTATCTACCGTACCGGTGCTGCTTCGTCTCGAAATGGGCAAAAGCTACCAACGGTCTTGAGGCAAAGTTGCTACGCCGCACCCGCGCCTATTCCAGACCGCGACGTTGGACGTGCTCCGTACCGGCCTAGTAATAGATATGAGGGTCTAATCTGACCACGCGCTATGCACTGCCCCCCTCCTCCCACCTCTTCCATGGCCTAACTGCTAAGACATGCAAAACATGAGTACAAACCCCCGCCTCTACCTCCGTTCACCCCGGCGTGCTTGCAGAGGAGCCGGATCGCGTGCGAACGCTCTTGGAAGACGTGGAGAACGTTCGTCGAGCGAAGATGTACGAGGGTATGGGCTCCGCGGCCCAGGAAGTCCAGCAAGCCGTCAAGGTGACGGACACGTAAAAAATGAAGTATGAAACGAAGATTTCAAGTACAAATCAGATCGTGGGTAACGCACGACGAGATTGGTTGAGCATGTCTCTTCGTGCCCTCCTGTCTCGTGCTCAAGCCACTTGCTTCGCTCTTCCACCACGCCAACACCACTGCCTTCGGCTGTCTCATGCTCAATCCTCTTTCTTGACTTGGCCACCACACCAAAACACCACCACCACCACTACTGCTGTCTCACGCTCAAGCCACTTTCTTCACCTTTCCACCAAACTCAAAACACCACTGCATGCGGGCGGGGTGCTATTTTGATGCTGTTTGTCCCAGGTTAACGACCTGGGTGCGATGGAGCTGCTCCCGGTGCGATCCTTCTTCGCCGAAGCGCTCGCCAGCCTCTACGTCGTGTCCGGGCAGAAGTCGGCCGATCACCGGGCGAGGGATCTCGAGGAAAAGATGCCTGCCACCCGTGCGAGCGGCGGCGGCGACGACAACGCGGGCGGTGGGGGCGGGGACGATGACGTCGGGGCTGCCGCTGCGGGGTTGGGTTCTGTGGAGGCGGCGGCGGCAGGGGGCGGAGAAGAGGAGGAGCCGTTGCGACCGAGGAGGGTGCGGAGGTTCCGGAGCTGATGCTGCCGCTGCTGCTGGTGGTGTCATGGCTTGGATACCATTACGAGGAATGGCCTCGCTTTTTGAGACTCTGTGGGCCGTATCTTGAATCATTGACGCGGGTCGCGATAAACTGGTTTGATTTTCTGGGGCTGGCGATTAATGGGGATTTTTCACAGCTCCCTGAAGAAACACTGCGGTACCTTGTTTCGCTTTTGAGATAACGTTTTCGCGGTTGGGGCGTTCGTCTATGCCTTCCCACATGCAGCGGCAGTCCTACTGCTGTTACCTGAGGTTGATAATAACATTTTCTCAGTTTTGACTGCTGTTCGGGGTACTTCCGGTCGTTTCCGCGAAAGCGTGCTTTATGGTGTTTCTCTACTGTTTACTCTAGTGTGCATGTTGCTGTAGCGGTGTAGTAGGGAGCGAGACCCGAATAGACTACGAGGTGGGAGCTGGAAAGAGTCTGGAGTTTTAATCATTGCATGCGCGCGGTCCCGGATCAGGGCTTGCTTGGTGGCGGAGTTTGATGCGAGGGCATGTATGGTAGAGGGTAGGGGTTTCCTGAGAAGGCGGCGAGCCGAACGTGGAAAGCGGAAATACAGATGCGTGTCTATGGATACTCACTCCCACAAATATTTTTAGATCTGTATGGGGGCAATTAGGAGCACGCGTTATTTTTAGATTGTAGGTCGTCAAGGTGGGGGTGTCGTTGTTGATCGCAGCAGGAGGTAGTAGCATGGCTCCATCCGGTAGACTGCAGATGGAGACACGCGTACGCATGATGAGTGCTTCGCGCAGGTTCGCCTCCGGCTTGTTACATACTAGTTTTTTACACGATGCTATTGTAGCGCTCTAGGGGGGATTCCATTTCGCAGCGTGTACAACTCTTCTATCGCTGCCCCCTCGGGCGTGTGTAGTGTGGAAGCAGCTGCTGCTGTGTCTTGCGGTGGTTTTGCTGCCCTCTTAGTTTATGCACTATTTTCTTGGGCAATTGTGTGGTATGGGTTTTAGGATGTGATTATTGTGAAACGCCCGGGGGCGGGTTCCGTTACTGTTTGCCTGTGCGTAGAAATCATCACACGATTTCGTCATGACATGGAGAAAAACGGCAAGCAATTGATATCATGTCGTGAGTGCGGAGTTGTACCGATTCTGGTGAAAAAAGTCAATCGACGAATACCGTGGGAATCGGGTCCTCCTCAGCGCTCTCTACCCACAGAATTTACCCTCAGCTGGGAACCCATTGTGGCCAGGACGGGCAATTACAAAAGAGGTGTCACACTTTCTTTTTAGGATGAAAAAAAACAGGACTGACACACATTTGTCGTCCATTGGTGTCCAAGTCAGGAGGAATATGTGCACACAAAAGACTCGACCCGTGTGTCCTGTGCCGACACGTCGCCATTTGTGAAGGTGTACCGATTCTGGTAAAAATGAATCGTCGCACACCTTGGAAATCGGGTGTCCATAATTGACATGAGCCTGATGATACAGCCAGATAGGGCCGAGCTTTTGGTTGACACATTTGTGCAAAAAGTCTTCTTGCGTAGTGAGGCCTATACTCTATATGCATCAATAGCCACGCTCCTGTGTTCGACATTTTGACCACTACCTGGTACACTGTTTTATAGAAGTGCATGCCTCAGCCGCGATCGTCTCCGCATTACAGCAGTACTGCGTTCCAGATACAACGTCGCAACAACGTATGTTCGTGCACCCCAGATCTGGATCCCAAAGATCTGGATCCTGATGGATCCGCCGCCCTGATTTTAAATGTTTGGGCGTACCCGCCCGCAGAAAAATGCATGTCGCGTCTCCCCTCTTCGTCCCAGTCCTGGTGCTTGTGCGACGCAAGCGCAGTAGTTACGGCTGTGGTGTTGCTGTACTGCTACTGCGTCTGCTCTGATTTTCGTGGCGGTGGTGGTACCTCTAGAGCACTCTTGCATCGCCATGGCCCGTCGACGCAAGCTGCCGCACGCAGCCATCGTTAGCGTGCTGTCCGCAGCAGCTTGCCTGCTGTCGGCCGCGTTGGGAGCCCAGTCGGCAGACTCCAAGTACGATTCCGGGACTACCATGTTTAGTCCCAAGGGCCGCTTGTACCAAGTCGAGTATGCTGCAGAGGTATGAAGGAATGTGCAATTATGCGAGTTGAGTATTTGTAGTACTGCTGTTGTACTGCATAATGCAAGCTGCGTTGTAGCCTGCAAACGGTATCTACAGACTACAGCAGGAACGCGGTAAAACTGGCCATTGTTGTACCGCCGTATGCGTACAAAGTAGGTCACTAAGGTATCACGCTAGCCCTTGGACCAATTTTCGAAGCTCGATTACTGGGCAAGATCAGTGGCGGTGCTGAAAATGGCGGCGTTGGGACCATCTGTCGAGATCTTTCCGAAACGTAACGATTTGATTCGTATACTGTATCGCTTTGATTCGTACATCCTCTGTTCCGTGGAGTATGTAGTCCAGGGGGTGTGGTACCTTGTGTCACCACTACAGCCGTACGCGATCGTAAAATGAGTAATGTAGGTGCAGTTTTTGCGACCGACACACTCCTGTAGGCAAGAAAGTCGTGATGCTCCATTTTCACGTGACCCCCACGCTACCAGGGTGTATGTACCGCTGGAGGCGTGGCCGGCTGTAGTCGTGAAATAATTGCTACATGAAGGGTCGTGAACGCGTGTCGTGGCGTAGTCGGCTGCCCACGGAGAAAGTCACCCGGTGTGCTCGGGAACAACAGGCGGTTCTCAACTATCCTCGAACCGTGTTTCATCATTTCATCCCGCAGGACCCGAATTAACCGTTCTCTGATCACCCAGCTATTGACCTAGGTTCTACCTGTAGTTGCTCTTGATCTTTTTCACCCACCTTCCCCGCGTCTGCCTATCTCTGTTGTCGCTGCTGCTGTTGTTGTTGTTGCTGCTGCGCTGCTGTTGCTGCTGCTTCTTCTACTATTCTAACCGTTGTCTGCGGCATGCATCGACGGGGCTTAGGCGGTAGCCCGAGCGAGGCCCGCGGTTGGAATCTGTACAGACGAAGGTGTGTGCCCTCCCTCCCGCCAAACACGCCTCCCTAGAAAGATGGCTTCGATATATGTGTTCCCGACGAGTTTGTTTCTCCTCGAAAAGGGCACGTCCGGTTGTCGGTTAGGTTCATTTCCTCTGAGTTGAAGGTTATGATCAAAGGTTGGTGAGCACACGTTCACTCGCGACCCCGAAGACATGCTACCGTACTCACGTGGACGTGACCCTCACCAAGACGCCTGAGACAACCCGCACGCAGATTTTGTAGGCATTCGATGGGAACTCTGTTTGAAGTGCTTGTAGTACAAGAACGGCTCTATTCTACTGCATTTGGTTTGATGCAGTATTGCGAAGGCGTTGCCAAGTCTGTAACCGTCAGATGAAGACAGCTTGGGCGTCTGTGTGAAGATAATAAATCACTCTGTGTTTCTCTACCCAAACCTCAGCCACACACGCCACCCGCAGCGTACCACAGCCGCTGCACTGCTGTTGCAGTTGTAGGCGTACTGCTGTTAAACTCCACGCTCACGTTGGCTCAGCATTCCTCTTTGTTCTCATGACGCCCTTGGGCCCGCACTACACCCCGCCCGCGTCAATTTTTCTGTGACGCTCTCTTTGTTCAATCTTTCAAAAGTACACCCCCCCGCTAGCCTCCACCACCCCTGTGCCTGGAAACCGTTAACAAACAAACCCGAGACAGAGTGGTGAAGGCGTTCTGACCACAGAACCCTGCCATGTTTGGTGCGATCTACTTCTCTCCTATCCACTTGGTTGACGCTTCCTACCCACGAGCCTCTGTCAAGCACGTCTGTGCCCGAACCCTCTTGGTGTTTTCCCTCGTCCAATACCACCCCTAATAGGTATCTTATCTCGTGTACATGTCCGAGGCAGCAGCATCCTACTCGTAGCGAAGGACCTCTTTTTTATATCGTGGTGCTAACGTTGCTTTTAGCCCTCTCTCTGAACGTACCCCCCCCCCCCCCCTGCTCTAACCATGATTCGCGTCACGAATCGTGTTTCTCAGGCGTTGTGCTGTGCTCCCTCAAGACGATACGCAACAAGCGGCTCCAGGTGGGGGACCAGCGCGTCAAGACCAGCCGCGTGGACTCGCACATCGTGTGCACCTCCGCTGGTCTCACCGCTGACGCCATGGTACTCGTCAAAGATTGCAGGGTGAGCGGGCGAGTGGGTGCCCCCCAATACGGCGGCGGTGGGGCAGCTGATAATGACCAATCTCATGTGGGGCAGTCGGCTTGCTGTTCCTCCTGTGCCAGCCAATTTCACCCGCTTTACATAGACCGCGTTATTCGGGTGGCCCACTCTGTAGCTTCTAACTCTCCGTTGGCCAAGTTCTTGTCCGCCACAAGTGTCGGTCGGCTTGTCGTCATGGCCCGACATGATGGACCCCCCGACGGCAACAAGCTACGGCCGAGCAGATGCTTCCTTTGAGCTGACGGTTCCTAATCTTCACTTTCATGGTTTTTCGGGTTTACTGTATGTCGATGTTGTGTATTTGATCACCGTGGAGGACACCCCGGGGTATTATTACACCAACTGTGCGAGTTCATATTATTTACGAGAAGTTTGGTACCAAACGGTTAGTTGTAGAAGGAAGGAGGGTTAGAATGAGGTACGATAGATTCGTGTTGCGTAACGCGAATCAACACGCTAGAGAGCGCCGCGATGTTGTAGAGGGTCCCTTACCAAGCAACTACCGAACGATTCCATGCCTCGGAATAGATTACTTAGCAGTGACTCAGCAGCACCCTCCCCGCCCCCCCCAACACCATCCACTACGGTGCTCCCTCCTGTTTCTCGTCCTGCCCTGCCCCACCCCGCCCGTGGAAGGTATCTGCCCAGCAGCACTCCTTGACGTTTCAGGAGCCCATCCCGGTCCAGAAGCTGGCTGCCCACGTCGCGGACGTGAAGCAGGTGTGTAAGCCAGGGCCACGACCATCGCTCGCCCTCCCGATGCGATCACGGTATTGATGATCTTCATCCCTTTTTCGCCACCCGCCCCTCCCCCCGTAGGAATCCGGAAGCTCCCACACACAACGTCAGTAGAGCACAGTTTTTTCTTGGTTCTCCTTTTTTTGTTTTGTCTTCACTTCCAATCAATGCTCACAGCATGTGTGCCGTTTGCTCAAACCCGTGGTCACACAGAAGGGCTCCTCTTCCTGAGCCCACCTGCGGTGCTTTTCCTTCGATTTTTGATGCGAGAAGAGTGCAGCACTCGCTTCCCTGGTTCTCCTTGGCCTTTGTTTTTTTTTCTCTTGTCTTGTGGGTTCTCACTGCCGCTGACCGTACACCCATACATGCACATGTACGATGCGGCCCGTACTTCGCTGCTGTCGAACGGCGCGTGACTCTTACGCAGGCGTACACACAGCACGGTGGACTCCGGCCGTGGGGCGTGTCGATGCTGTTGGCGGGGTGGGACGAGTCGAGAGGGCTCCAACTCTACAAGACAGAACCCAGCGGTGAGCTTTTTTCTCAAGAACTTGTACATAAGGTACCGTAGCTTTCGTACGGACTCCGAAACAATTTTTGGACAAATACTCCGATACTTTCTTGATTTGCGGTCTTTTATATGTTTGTAGATATCGAATTGGCTCACGGGTCGGCTAGGAGCGGTGGGCTCTGTGTGTTGATCCCCGTTGTCGACCCTCTTTATCCGACATGCAACCTGGTTGCTGCGAAGGAAAGTATTACTGTTTTGTGGGCTCTGTTGTAGGGTGTTTTATTTTTTTTCCCGTGTGCGTTAATTTCCCTTGGTAGGTTGGATGTTGGGTCATCTTCAAGCCTGTGATCAAGCATGTGTAGCGCGGCCGACGTTGGACACCTGCTCCCCGCCTTTTCCTCAACGCGATGCGCCTTTATTTGACGACCATGAAACTCTCGCGAAACTGCCCGTAGTGTTTCGATTCGCTTGTTCTTACTTTACTTGGCTGTGCGAGGCCTGACTGTATCGTAGATCGCGAATCGCTACCTAGCTGTGCCGGCGCTTTGTTTACTTGCGTTAGTGCCGTCGATGTCAATGTAGCTTACCTACAACGATTGGTGGTTTTGACGCTCTTGATTTTCGACTCAGGCACATGTTTCTCCTCACACGACCTTCCGTCAACGTCTGAATCGTTCACAATTAACCAGGGAATTTCGGGGCGTTCAAGGCCGTGGCGGTTGGGGCGGGCGCCTCGCGATTGTCAGCCGAGCTAGCGTCCGGCTACGAAGAACTGTTGGCGGCCACCAATGGGGGGGCGGAGGCGGCGGGCGGCGGCAGCACTAGTAGCGGCAGCATAGGGCTAGGAGAGGCCGTTCGACTCTCCGCGAGGGTGCTCAGCCGAGAGCGCGCGCGAGAGAGAAAATCGCGAGATATTAGGACGGCAGCGGGGGAGGGAGAGGGAGAGGGGGAGCGGCGGGAGAGACAAGATTTTGGGGATTTTGGTATGGAGATTGCTACAATAGCGGTAGAGGGGGGTGGGGGCAAGGGGGTGGCAGCAGCCGCGGCGAGCTTGTATATTTATAGCGATGAGGAGGTCGAGAGAGTGTTGAATAGTATAGAGGAGGAGGACGTTGACGGGAAAGGGGTGGGCAGTGGCAGCAGAGGGAAAAAGCTTGAGTAGAGGAGAGAAAGGCGGCGTGCCTTGGGAGCGGGTCCTGAATGTATGAACGGCGACCGAAGGGTGTTCGACTCGAAAGTAAGCAACGCGGAATACCGGTGTGCAAGCAAGGCCAAACCATCCGTTTGCGCGCCTCTGCGCCCCACGTATCCCGCCCATGCCCTACAGTTCTTGGATGGTGCTTGAAAGCACGAAAAAAGTGCCACCGACCAAACTCCCTCGCGTTGAGCATCCTTGAACAGTACCACATCAGGCAGTATTTTGCGTGAGTATGTGCCTACGCATGGCCATTTATTGAATCGTGTCAACCCTCTGAGGCCCTGCTGGTTTTCGGTGGCTGTGATATCATGGAATAAGCGTTGTTCCCGTGGATAACAGACCCCCGAGCACTTACAATTACGGGCGCTCTGGGAATCGCAGTACCTCCTCTGAAAAATCCAGGAAACACCTGCATATCTCGGTTCTCCAAAGTCTAACTTCAGTACGAAAGTTCCATCGCAAATTAACCGTCCGCTGACCCCCCCTCGTGGACAATGTTAGTAGCATTGTAGCCCTTGCGATACACTACAGACTAGCGGTCCGCGATTTTCCAAACGATCCTTTTATCATCGAGTTCGGTGAGCTACAAGCTAGATTTTTGAAGCTGCTGTGCGGTCCGATTTTTAAACGCTTCAAGCACCTTTGCTTAAAGGCTAGACATGCATATATATGACCCCAGGCATTCAAATCGACAATGGCGACCAGCTGGATATGTGAGGGAAGAGCTGCGCTGAAGTTCGCGGCCCCATACACTCACATGGGCGGTGATTCGTGTTCACCGCGTGCTTGAAGCGTTTAAAATTGGACCGCACAGCACCTTCAAAAATCTAGCTTGTAGCTCACCGAACTCGATGATAGAAGGATCGTTTGGAAAATCGCGGACCGCCAGCCTGTAGTGTATCGCAAGGGCTACAACCTCAGCTACTAACATTGAACACGAGGGGGGGTCAGCGGACCGTTAATTTGCGATGGAAGTTTCGTACTGAAGTTAGACTTCGGAAAAACGAGATATGCAGGCGTTTCCAGGCGTTTCCTGTTTTTTTGAAGAGGAAGTACTGCGATCCCCAGTGCGGCTTCGCCGTTTCGTTTCGGTCGCGCTTCGTACAATATGCATGTGTTGTGTGCCGACGATGTGCAAATGGTCAATGTTTGCAACATACATAATTCCCGAGAATGCTCCAGGGCTAGAGAGTTGTCTCACAGACAGAACTTTGATCACACAACCTTCACCCGTAGCCATTCGGCTCACCCTGTGCGGATGACCTTGTAGGCAAACAGCAAATAGACCCTGCGGACGCTGTGACACCCTCCCAAGGTAATCGGTCCCCAGAAGGTCCACGGGCAGGAACCCTGCCAGGGTGTCGACGCTGCCTGGGTTGAATAAGCAGATCTGTGGACCTTGAAAGGACTTTGCGTTGCCACCGCTACATTTACTACATGTTTTGCCAACAGTCCGTCCCTCTGGAGTCGGTACTGTTTTTAACGCTTATATTGGGGAGTTTCGGAACCGTGTTCGACCAAAATAGATTTAGGTGGAACTTCTAGATTTAGGTGGAAGGGTCTAGTTCTGGGAACGTTCCTCAAAGCGGGGGAACATCGAGCTCCTAAATCTGGAAAGGGACTTTCAGATTTAGAAAAGTAGAGGCTTGGCGCCGCTTTTTTCTAAATCGAAATCGCTTTCAGGAGACGATATAGATTTAAGGAGGAAGGAGCAAAGAGACCCACCACCACAACAACAACAGCTGTAGTATGGAGCTCCAGGCACCACGGAAGGTGCGGTTGTGTGGGCTCCATCGCTGCCAACGAAGAGAGGAGGTCAGACCTACACCTACCTGGGGGTTGGTTGCTCTGCGTGTGTGTGTGGAAGTGCGGTACGTATATGAGGCGTGGAGCATTCCAAGAAAGAAAAAGCACGCGTGCGTGCGTGCGTGTGTTTGATCACCACCTACCTGTCAGTCTGTTTTGTTGTTGCTGCTGCTGGGTTGTTGCTGGGCAAGAGAAGAAGCGACACGAGGAAAAGAGGAAGATCAGACTTGTCTAGACGGCTCGGCGATGAGCTCTACTATATATATGTAATCGGGGTGTAGTGTGTGTGTGCGTCTGCTCTCTTCTTGTTTGCTTCTTCCTCTCTCTCTCTCTCCTCTCTTTCTCTCTCTCGTGGAAAACGCTATTTCTCTCGTTCGCACACAGCAACAAAAGAGAAGTGAGGCTCTTTGATCACCCTCCTCCTCACAGATTGCACTGTTGGTGCAGCCCCTCAACTACATGCGTGCGTGGTCTGTGTCAACCTCCTCATCAACCTCCACACCGCCGTGTGTGTGTGTCTGCCGATGTGTGATGTGATGTTTCGATGCAGCAGCAGCTGTCCCTTTTTTTTTTTCTGCCGCCTTTCCGCGCCGGCGTGTTTTCTTGCCGCGTTCAACTCCGTGGTCTCCACAAAATAAAGTTCCGAGAACGTTCGTTACACCTAAATCGAAAAGTTGTCTTCCTAAATCGAGAAGTTGTTCCGAAACTCTCTATTATTATCCGTTAGCCAACGGACCCATTTACTACATGTTTTGCCAACATTCCGTCCCTCTGGAGTCGGTATTGTTAGAGCTTATATTATCCGTTAGCCTACGGACCCGAGATAATATTTTGCCAACATTCCGTCCCTCCTCTGGAGTCGGTATTGTTTCTAACGATTATTAATCATGTTATATATATACTCACAGGATGGTCGTCGTGACGTGATACATTTCTTGTTATTAGTATGGAAAAAAATAAAAAAAAGATGGCTCGATTTTTGTATTTCTACAGCAGTATGGACCAGACGCCGACTGTACATGGGAGTCGTACGAGTGTCGACTTAGTTGTGCTGTCACAGCATGTTCCACGCACTTCTGCCAGTGCTGGTTTGTTGATTGGAGTCTTGTAGGTCGAGATACAGCAGTGGGATTCTCGGGTTGTGGAGGCAAAAGTGAACCAGAGCAAAACATTTCATGCATAGTCTAGCTCGATTACTGCTGTGTTTTTGCAACAGCAATCAATATGGACTAGACGCCGAACGACGTCCGCGTACTACCGCAACGACCTAACTGGATGGGATACTTCCTGCCACGGCGAACCATAGTACAGTGCGATGCAAACATCCGTTCGTGTGTCGCGCGGCTGCCACATGTGTCGACGACAGGTAGGTACACGTACGTAGAGCTCTCGCCATATTGTCGTTACCGCGCAGGAGGACCCCTCGGAGATCTTCCACATGCTGCTACAACTAGTCTGTACTGCTGGACATAGATGTCGTAGGAGAGTGGAGTTGTGCTGTCACGGCATCTTCCACGCACTCTCCTACCGGTGCTTGCGTCGATTGGAGTCTTGTAGGCCGAAATACAAGAAGAGTGGGTTGGGTTCCCGGGTTGTGGAAGCAAACCTGCCTGCAACAACAGAGAAGGAAGGCGGTGGTGGTGTTCTATTTAGTAGAGTATCCCGCTCAACTTTTTTTTTTTTTGCGACATGTGGTTGCATATTTCTTTGCCACTGCCGAAAAAGACCGCTGGATCTTTGCGCAGTCCACCTTTCGCATTTATTTATCATTTTACACCGAACGACGCAGGACGGGTCGACCTTCATCATTGTTGTTTTTGTTGTTGTTGTCTTCACATGAAAAACCGTTCTGATCTCTCTTTACCCAGTAACTTCATATGTCCGTACTTACTTGTGGATTACCTGTTGGAAATTAATTGTGGGAATCCCTTCATTCCGAGAGAGCCACAGGTCGGCATCCGGCCTTTTCTTTTTTTGTATGCACTTTTCTTATATATATGCACTTTTCTTCCTGTGAAGTTTTGACGTTGCGCTTGCCATCGTCGCTGAAGTGTTTGTGGCTTCAAACCTTCTCAGCCGGCCTTCAACCTTCTTGCTTGTTGATAAGTCTCCGTGGTAACTTCTCCGCGCATGAGTCATATGCAGTTATGACCTGCGCTTTGACTTTCACGATGGGTATTTTACCTCTTTGTCTTGCATTGATTGGTGAGTACCTGCTGCGTTGTTATACGGAAGGAGGATCGTTCCACGACGCAAACGTCCACGTCTGTGTCCGTTTTTTTTTTGTTCCCTCCGCACTCCTTCCTTGCGGCGGTTTTGACACCGACTTCGAACGAACGTGGGGTGCAATTTCCTCTCTTCGTACCTTCCTCGTCGGCCTTCTCCATCGTTATGAACAAAATCTATACCTCGATTTTTCGGCTTTTCGATTCCGATAGAGACAAGACTACGGACTGACATTTCCCTTTCACCCCCGACGGGACCGCGCGCTCGTCGAGTGAGTGCCGAAATTCTTCACCACTTCCTTGCCTCTCCCAACACCGTCCCTTCTTCCCGCCCCAACAACTCTTCTCCCCTTCTTCTTCTTTCCTTCCTCCCGGACACTCACCACCACCATCCGTCCTGGATGTTGGCCCCCAGCCCCATTGGGGGGCGGGGGGCCAAATCCTTAACCCTAGTTATATTATCCGTTGTTATTTAGCCTACGGACCCATTTACATGTTTTGCCAACATTCCGTCTCTCTGGAGTCGGTATTGTTTTTAATACTGTAAGCAGCAGGAAACTACCGTATTCTGTAGGTAAAATAAACAAAAATGCAAGAAAAAACCAAGAATACTGCTGCATGCTGCTGTTGTTGTAGGCTGTGCTCTCTGCGCTCCCCGGACCCAAAAATCTCTGTGCTCTGTGCACTGGAGCACTGGCACTGGACACACTCGACAAAAAATTAAAAGTTTCAAAATTTGAAACGAGGGATCTATCGGATTTGGTCTACAGAGCGCAGTCGATGGAGAGTTACGAGCTCCCCTTACCGATTAGTCCTCACGTGGAGCAACGACAAAATAATTGAATGAAAGTGGGACACGTGTAGAACCACGTGGACAGTCGGACAGGTCTGGTGGAACCAGAGACAGAGGTCGTAGTGAAAAGAAGTGAGCTGAGAGGGGCGAGGGTGGACAGAGCCGTCTTTGTCATCAGTGAGGAGGAACTTCATGATCTTGATGGCCGACGGCTCTGTCCACCCTCGCCCATCTCAGCTCACTTCTTTTCACTACGACCTCTGTCTCTGGTTCCACCAGGACCTGTCCGACTGTCCACCACGTTGTTCTACACGTGCCCCACTTTCATTGTCGTTGCTCTACATGAGGACAACTTGCTCATCGCAAGAGTAGAGAGCTCGTGACTCTCCATCGACTGCGCTCTAGACCAAATCCCATATGGGCGACAGTCACAGTTGACAAGAACTTCTTTAGAGCCACAGTCGTTGTGCCGCCTCTATCTCCCGCGGGACTGTCATCATGGACGGTTTCGTACTGTGAAAATTTGGTTGCAGGTGTATGTCGACTACATGTCGACTTGCACGCGCTGCTCCTCTGCTCCAGGGGCAAGTCCACCGGAATGGGCAGGAAAAATGCCCTGAAAGGGCTGCCGACAAGTGTAAAAGGGCCAGCTTTCGTGGTGGAATCGCCGCTTCTGCAGGAGGCAGAATGGTTCGGCGATGCTGCTGCACAGGCCATGATGGCTGATGGTACCGCTCCCGGTGATACGGCGGTCGTTCCAGCAGTAGGAACGACGGAAGTTTTTGGTGCTGTCGGCAGTGCAAGCCTCAAGGGAAGACGAAAACGAGTGGTCGGTGATGATGATGAGGATGCAAGGGCCAGTAGTACCGTGCGTGGTTCTTCGCGGAAAAGAAAGGTGGGAATGTAGAGCATCCTTTGAAGGTGCCGACGGTTCGTTAGATACCATACCCCCTGTACCGAATTTCAAAGCTTGGTTGCCTCTGTGCGCACAACAGCAGTGATGGTGCCGACAATGGCAACGTTGCACTCATCTCTTGGAGAGTGGTATAAAAAACGTACCATTTGATATTTGCTCCCAATTCGTCGTGGCATAATCTGTAGAGCATAGAATATCGGTCGAGGGGGTGTGGTCTCTTATACAACCATGGCATAGACTGCAACCGTTGAGGTTTGATAGCAGTACTAGAAGTAGCGGAAGCATACATGTTCTGTTCTGCTAAAACTAAAACTAGCGATTGATCTTTAATGTCTCGAATGATTTCTTTGTTTCGGCTGATGCGTCCTTGTTTTTAGCCGTTGTCTACATCATACATGTGCGCGACTCACGAGGTGACTTGCAGAGCTTCAATTTTGTGTGAACTCTGCTCCAGCTGTGTTGCAGTTGTTCTCCCACAGGTGTGCAGAGTATCACCCTTCCTTCTGCCAAGTTCCTACAGATCTCGGAGGATGCACACATATAGATGATCGTGCATTGCAATTGTCCACTTGCAAAGCTAAGCTACAAGAGCATGCAGCCAGGACGCTATCTTTGACGTTTCCTTCCCACCATGCGCTACATATTTAGAAGAACGACAGCTTCGGCCGAAGCCGGACACTACCTGAGCGACAAGCAACACCGCCGGCAGACATCGACACGATGCCACCAGGGGTGGGGGTTGATGATGACTGGCATTCGAACCCAATCTCAAGGGCCTCGGCGAGAAAGCAGCGGCCCTCCAGGGGTAGCACCAAAGGCGCGAACCCTCCACGGAAGAGAATTCGGGTCACGCCATTCGAGAAGGTATCATGGTGCATAGACCAAGAGCACTATACCGCCGTGGGCACTATACCGCCGTGGCTCAGTCTTAGCGTGCATCACCCTGCAGCTACTGAATGCGCGATTTGTCATCCGGGAGGTTTACCGACTATCATAATAATAATAGGGTGGTATCAGACAACGCTCTTGTCGTCATACCGGAAACGAATGTACCTTGCAAACACACGTGACCTCGAGTGACAAATGAGTCCTGTTCAAGGACTTGGCACAACCGAACGGAGCTAGCTGCTACAGTCGAATGCGCTTGCGCACACAAGAGCCGTCCACGAGCCGAACAATTGTCGTGTGTACTAAATAAGAACTCACATGAGTATCTAGGAGCCCAGACGTGAAAGGTGTAGAGCGGGCATGAGTCGACCCCGATCGCAAGATAAGGGAAGGCACCCCCTCGCCCATGTCTACATTATTGGTGTACAACACGTACAACAAGAAACATGTTAACTTTCTAAACGGCCATGCGTTGTGAACCTCTTCGGCACTGCTGTCCTGCGTGTTCAACCGAACGTGTCTTCATAAAGGTGTCGAACATGCAAGGGGTGCAGAGGGCACGCTTCTGCCACAACCGAAAGGACGTCGAAGACACCTACCTCCCCGGAGATGACGCCTTGTACCGCCTTAACGACGGCGCACCCCGGGATGGGAGGCTCGACCTGTCCGGTTGGGGTATTCGCGACGAAGACATGCCGGGCATCGCGACGGTAAGATTTACAATACGCGTGCGAACCAGTTTGCACTTCATGCAAGATCAGACTGCAGGGTTTGGTGTTGCTTCCCATAACGGACAAAAATGGTACCCGTTGTCTTCGATCTGTACTTTTAGGATTGGACACGTTTAACCACGACCAACTCAATGTTCAATGCGTGGACGACCCTGACTGTGACTTCTGTTGTGTTGATTGCTTGTCTTTGTCATTGCATTACATCTTCCTTGCTATATCAACCCGATGTCTCGGGCCTAGGTGTCGTCGTCGCATGTTGAACATATCACATGATACGTATGCCCAGAAAGAGACAATATTACCCAGCGAGGTATTTCAGACCCGATCACACGCAGCGTTTCTCGAACATTGCACACGAAGGCTATGCGCTGTGTTCGTTCGCTTTGCAATGTAGCTATGCATAGCTCTGTTTATTTCTCGCTTTTGGTGAGGTCTTCCACGCCGGATGGGCAAGAGGGTCATCCTTGTTGTTGGTGAAGCCCCCAACACCCAGTAGCAGTATTCTGCGGCATGCCTCCACCCCTTCACACATTGCTTGTCGTAGCCCAACAGTGGCTCTAGCATGGTAGCGACGAATCCTCGACCCAAAAGGGCGGGATTCCCTTGAAACCTTTTGCTTTGATTTTCCCAAGCAACGGCAGGAAGATGTCCCGTTGTTCACAAATGACTCTCTCCATTTACGTACAGACACAAAAAGAGGTCTACTATCTATGTAGACTGCGTGTCTTCTTTTGGAACGTGCTGCTGATGGGTTTCTCTGATGACTACATGCATGTCCGCCGCAAAAGCTACTCCCGGAACGAGGTACTCTCATCGTTAGGGATGACGTTGTTAACTGCCTTGATAGAGTTTTGTCAGCAATTATAATTTAAAAATGCAACATTACACTGCTTCCAAGGTGGCCCTCGCGAACGTGGATGCGAAGGCAGACACAGGAGGCGTCACCTCCTTGGTCCTCGACAAGTGTTGGAGGTGGGAGTTACGGGGGGGGGCAAGTATGAAAGCCAACAAGGGTGCTGCCAGCTTCAGACACGCTATTACAAACCGTTTGTCTTGAACATTATCACCCCCCGTTTTGTGGTTCCGTGGAATCAACCCTAGGCATGGCTTCAGCTTGGATATCTTTCTACGGTATTCCTCCGATGATCGCTGCGTGCGACGACGACGACGGTGGGATCTTCAACTGTACAGAATGTTGTTGTGTTGGTGGCGACATATCGGTGCAACTTCACGTCAGCAGGTTGACCGACAAGGGTGTGGAAGCACTGGCCAAGCCTTTCCTCGACCAGACCACGTCGCCGAACCGGATGGAGGCGTTCAGCGTTGCCGGCTGTAGCCTCCTCACGGACGAGGTAGGTGCACGAACACAGGCGCAATGGTCGCCGCACGATGAAGAGGCGGGGGAGAAGCAATCCATGCTGGGTCACCGCTAGGTAACATGCCGTGGACACGTTCTGTATGTTTGCGCGCTCACCAGTATGTCCCGACCTAACATCACGCTTCTGCTTGCGCAAGAAAAAGAGGTGGGGGAGCGGTATCCAAGGGAGTTCTTCGCCGTGTCGTGGGAAGCGTATCTGGCAATAGGGGGTGGTGGGAGGGTACCGGGTGTGTCCTGCAGGAGTGAGCGACACGTGGTCGTCAACGCCACCGACCCTTCCTTCTCCCGCCACCGCCTGCCCATCGTAACTGCACGCTCTGTCCGTGGTCCATCTTCATTTCACCGCATACCATCACCTCCAACATCTCTGATTGTGGCCGCGCCATGTGACCATTTTCGCGCACGCTGCTGTCGGTGCGCACATAGTCCGCGCACTTTGTGCACCGGTCTTTCGGGAAGGTGGTGTCGTTGGATGTTTCGGGAACTGCGATCACGGACGACGGGATTCAGTTACTCCTCGGAGCAAGCAAGGTACCGCACAACCACTTTGCTCCCGCTACTCCTGCGTTGTTGGGTGCTTGGTTGCCAGCTTTTTTAAAGTATCGCCGGTGCGTTTTTGCGGTCTGTATTGTCCCCGGAGGTCGGTACTTGGTGCTTGTGCAGATTCTGTGCCTATTCACGAAAAGCTGACGTGTTGATCGTGTCCGATGTTGTGCGAAGGTGGTGCGCTCCCTTGGTCTGAGGGACTTGCCTGGGCTGACGGACCGAGGGTTGATGGCCATCCTGCAGTGCATCAAGCGGCGGCGGAAGCTGCAGAACCTCGAGCTCTGCAGGAGCCTGCGCTTCACGGACGGAGGTTCGTGGACTTTAATGGTTCTTGTACTTTGACCAAAGACACAGCGCTGTCCCTGCTTGTTGCTGAGTCTGTAGCTGTTCAACGTTTGCTGATGGAGCGGTTTTTCTGGGTCTCAATATGTTTACCTTACATGGGTTGACCACGAAACATTGCTCTATGCTACATGAATGTATTGGAAATATGCCATTATGATATATTTTGTGAAAACATCACTCACAACAGCAAGTACGACCCCAATTTTTCGGTTCGATTCACACTCATGCAGGACTTCTGGCCCTCCTCTCAGCCGGAGGCCTTCTCCGCACCCTCGACATCCATGGCTGCTCGCAGCTGTCAGAACTCTGCCTTATGGGCCTCCAGAGGGCCACGTTTACCTCCACCAACCTCAGGTGCCTTGACGTCCGAGGCATGGCCATCGCGGACATCGCCTTCGGGTGGGTGGCGCAGGTGAAAGCAATCTGTCAGCAGAATGCACATTCTAGAAGTATTCGCATGCAATTCGTGGTCACATATTTTATTTATGAGCCAATTTCTGCCGATGAACTAACCGCAAAGGACGGATTGAATACTGCATGCCATATGTTTGCTTATTCAATTTTGCTGCGTAGACTACTGGGATCGTAGACTACTGAATCTCGAGCGCACTGCGGGTCGAATGCACAGTACAGTGCTGTAGCACAGTACCGTATACGACACAAGATAACACACCCCCTGGAGCGATTTTCAAACAAAGCTCGATTTCTCAACGGCGCAGTCACAGCGCCGAAAACGGCGGCGTTGAAGCTGTCTCGTGGAGAGCTTTCTGGACATGCATCGTTTCGTTATGCATCCTCTTCATCGTGGCGTGATCGAGCCTTGAAAATTGGTCATGGGGGTGTGTTATTTTGTGGTCGTATACGGTAGTACGTTATGTAGGTCGTCCAATAGATAGATATATTGGGGGGGTGTTAATTATTTTTTAGGTTTGGGGAGTACATATCGATACGTACCCTCGTGTTCGCGACCGCTACAGCTGAGATGAGGCCTTTTAAACGGCAGCACGGCACGTTCCGAAAGATTTTTCGCGCGTGCATGCCATTTGAACAGGGGTGCAAGGTGCTGGAGAACTTAAACATCTCCCGGTGCCCCCTCCTGACTGATCTAGCCCTGGAATATCTCGCCAAAGGTTCGGGAGAGACGAAGCCGACGCCATTGAAGGTATGGTTCATCGGAGATGTGAAACTCTGTATCTGTGGCAGCCTGGCTCAAGACCGGAGTGCTGGCATTCTTGGTACTTCCCATCTGCCGTCCCACGCGTCCCGCATGTCCCATGGGCGGCCTATGGGATGCGTGGGGCGCGTGGGGCGGCAATTGGGACGTCATTTGGGCATCAGGGACGCGTAACCCTAATCCTAACCCTAACCCTAACCTTAAGGGTGAGATAACACTGGTAGCCTCAAAACATCCAACCAATGCGCCCGGCCTATGGAACGGGTGGGACGCCCCCCTGGGATTCCCATGAGCTGTCCGATGGACCGACCATCCCATCTGTCCCACGGGACGTCCCACGGGAAATACCAATAATGAAATAGTCGGACCCGATATGTGCATAGTGTCCGAGTGTGGGTTGCTTGCCCACCCATCCTTCGCATATCAGTTGTCACCTTTCAGCGCGCACGTGCAGTGCCTGGTGTAGCAATATTTATGAGAGCACGTGCTCTGCACCATGAACGATGGTCCAGGCATCCTGCCGTGCAAACAGTCCTACCGCGCCCTTGACTTGGCACCAAGTGGTCGTTACGATGAATCCAAAATAGGTAAGGTGAATAAACGCATTCATCGCTGTACGTACACCACCATCACCACCACCACCACCAACAGCAGCAGCAACAACGAATAACGAACAGGTTCTGGACGTGGCTGGAGTTGGCAATTTAACTGACGGAGGCATGTCTATTTTGTTGCCGCGATCGGGCCCGACCCTGCGGGACATCACGCTCGATGGGGCAACATCTTTGGGTATGGGAAAGGTGGCGCGTACAACACCGAGACATCGATAGAGTGTACTAGTCCAGGCGGTGAACACTCCGGATTTACCAAACCGTTTTTATTTCGCGCTTGCATAGGAGGGGAGATGAAAACGCGATGGAGCAAATTAAGGCAAGGCCAAGGCAGGCGGGAAGACACGTTCTAAACAACACTTAAGCCCGCCCTGTGTTTTGGGCTGAAGCTCTTCGTAGTGACATAGAGGTCTTCCACGCTTTGCCTTCGGTAGAGCTTCATCAGTAACAGGAAACGGTAATACGGTTACGTCCCGGTTGACATGTGATGTGAAGGGCCAAGCGACGAAGGCAGGACAACTAAAAAACGCCACCGAATATCTTCTTCCGCACAACCGTTTGATTAACCCTGCTTTAGTTTTAACTTTCACCGTGGTTTAGATGGTATGGACGACAGCACGGTGTACATCCCTTTGGTCATGACCGGTGCCCACCCCCTCCCCTTCCCACCCCTGTTCTACACATACGCGTGTTCTGTTGCTATCGCGTTGTGTGCGTACCGGACAATGTGAACGGGTGGAGGCTCGTCGACAACCTCGACAACTAGTGTTCGGTGTTGTCGTATGGGCCCGATTGTCACCATGGGAGTTGCCTCTTATCTCGTTTCCTTCCCGCGGTCACGTCACCGCGACCGCCACCGGTTCTTTTTCTTCGTTATATTTGACGTGTATACGACAAACATGACACATTCACTGCTGTACATGCCGAAACAGCTCGTGGATAGGCCGACGACCTCATGTATTTACTACCGCCGCCACTCCCACCACCCTTTCTTCAACATTACACATGGCAATAGCACCGACCGGATCACAACACGTCACGCCCCAAACACAGGAGATGGCACTGTCCGGGATATAGCGCGCCACTGCCCGGGCCTAACGTCTCTGAGCATGGTGGAGCTCACGCGCACGTCGGACGCAAGTCTTAGGGAGCTCGGGAGGCGTTGCCCGCTGCTGAGGCTGCTCGACAGCTCCTCCGACATCAACGTGCTTGAGACATCGCACCGCACGCGGGTGCCGAAGCTGGGAGGGGACGGCGTACGTGAGGTGTGGTACACAATGCACGAATTACACACACCTGTTCCTGTTTCTATAAATGTCCTGTCTGTCCATTCTACTTACCCCGCGATCTGGTGCTGACCACAAGGGCTGCTCCTGTCGGTTCTTTCAACGTGTCATTTGGTACCGTGTTGCTCGCCTTGGCTACCTGCCGGGATGATGCATTATTATGGTATGTACATGGAGGCGATCCCGGATAAGAAACTCATAAGTATTCCACTTCCTCGAGCCAAACCCGACAGTTTTGAATTGAAGCGTTTGGTTTTGCTTCTGACGCGTGGTTTAGTGTTGAACGAAACCACCAAAGGCAAGGCATAGAAGGCGATCAGGGAAAAAGTCCTGTGTGCAGCTACCGTTGCTGGTCGGGACGGCGTACGTACACCGTTTTCCATTTTTCGCGAAGAACGTTCCGTCGTATGTACGGAACTCCAAGAAAAAACGCTCAAGACGGTATCTGGCTGCACCCCCCCACGTTGATTTCCCCCGCGCTTGAACACTGCTCTTTTAGCTGAGCCTGGGAACTCCTTGCCTCACGGTCCTGAGGCTCAATGGCGCGTGCAAGATTACCGATGACTCCCTCCTGGCGGTGGGCTCCAACTGCCCCCTGCTAGAGGAGCTCGGCATCAGGTGACGAGCTAGTAGGGCGTTCTTTACGTTTTTTTCATTAGTCCTGGGGTCGGAAAGATCTGTGGTTGATCGCCAATGCGGGCAAAACACATCTTCACCAGCTGTTCTCTCCCTCTCCGTCACCCTGCTTCATCAAACCCATCATATGCCCACAGCAGTATCTAAGTTCTAGGGACTCCACTCCGGCACTGCCTTTGTCACCATGGGCCATAGCCTGAGTGAAGGAGCAACAACAACAACAACAACAACAACAACAACAACAACAACAACTGCCTCCTCTAAAACCTGACGGACTGAACAGGAGCTGCAACCTTGTCACGGACGTAGGCCTCGCGGCCGTGGCGCGCGGGTGTCCCAACCTCCGGCACGTCGGAGCGGGCGGGTGCGTGCGCCTGACCGATGCCTCGGTGCGGGTGCTGGCGGCCCGCGCCGGTGGGGGGCTGAGGGTGTTGGACTTTTCGGGGTGCCGACGTGTGAGTGAGTGGTAGGGGAAGTGATATAAAGTGGCTGGCGGGCGGGGGTGGGTGGAAAAAATTACGGGATCGGGGGAGGGGCCCTGCATCTAAAGAAAGAAACACAAAGCACTCTCCGGTCGCAAAGGTTGAGAGGGAGGGGGGAGTGAAGAGCGGCGAGAACTGGAACTAAGAGGCGCGTTTCGGATGCTCATGCTCCTGTTTTGGCGTACTCTAAATGCTATATGTATGTGATCGATTGTTTTGAATGCGCACCCTGGATCACCCGTACCACACACTACCTGTTATTTCACCGTGACCTCCTTCGCCGTCCCCCCTTGCCAGAAACGCTGCAAAAAAAGTACCAGTACGCACAAGGTGTCGAATCGCTAGAAACGCTGCTATAACGTACGCATAAGGTGCCGACGTTCGGTTTCCCGAACTGTTCGTAATGATGCAGCTCCCTTACATCAAGCGACTCGCGGGGCCTCTCAAGGGGCTTCGCGCTTGTGTCGCTTCGAGCCTGGTCAGCGACTATTCGTCTTGCCCTGTCCCGGCATTGCAGCGATGCGAATACTGTTCGCGGACGAATACGGCGTACACGATCATGAGATCCCCCCCCCTCCCGGCCGTCGTAAAACCATTGCCAGATGACCGACGTGTCTCTCGAGGCCATCGGCTCTCACTGCCGGGGGCTGGAAGGACTGACGCTTCAGGGCTGCGAGCGGGTTTCCGATGAGGGTTTGGTAGCCCTGCTAAAGCGGTGTCCCGGCATCACCGCTCTCAACCTGAGAGGCGTGCCTGACCTCACGGAGGTAAGGATGCTAACAGAGAGCTCGTCTGGGCTTGTGTTGAAGATCCTCGATTGTTTCGCAGGGTAGTGCATGTTAGTGACGCATCGCCCCCGGAACAGTGGAAATGGCAAGACACGTTGAGTTCTGTGGGGCTCGTTTGATAGGTCGCCGAAAGGCCCGCGCGGACAGGTTTGGACGATTGCTTCTGCGTCGTGACCGTTTCTGAAGCTGATGGGTGTGTGTGCCTGCTCTATGGTTAATGGCTTGTCACCCAACTTTGCCCTTGTCGATGCTGACCTTGGGTTCAACACGCCCATCTCTCTGGGCATTAAGTTCGATTTGGTCGCTACCAGTAATCCTTTGCATGCATGCTCAAAGTGTCGGGAAAACACACACACACACACACGCGCACATGTTTACATTTTTCTTTTCCAAAGCCCACGGGCTGTAGAGGTGTTCGTCCCGCTGTGTACGACTGAAGCTTTGTTCTCGTTCAGCTGGTCGGCACGGTCGACCTTCAGTAAACAAACGCACACACACAAACCAGTTAATGGCGTTTAGAAGTGTTTTGTGCTTTCAACCGCGCTGAGACTGACGTCTTTTCATCGGTCAGTCGGTTAGCGCGGTAATAATGAAAACACACACTTACCTACACACGAGCGTGTCCACGCAGGCTCCCCCTACCCACGCTCTCATTCCACTTTATCGGATTCTGTCTCTGCGTCTCGAAAGACACGTCTGCGTGGTGAGCCTTACCCGACCGGTGTTTGGCTACGCCTACTAGCAAAAACTACGTTCATCCCCCCTCCTCTTGTAAGCATCACGACTCCGCCACCCCCAAACCGCTTTCCTTTGCACCCCCCCCCCCCGCCCTCACCTATACTCCAGGCTGCCGTGGCTGCGGTGGAAACCCACTGTAGGCGGCTTCGTCGGCTTAACATGGAGGGGATACCTCAGGTTTGTCTCCGTCTTTCTGTAGCCCTTTCTTTCAGGGGCGAGAGGGCGGGACGGAGGAAATGTTTCAGACAGGTAGACCAGGTCGAAAAAGGGTACAGTGGTGTTTTTTTTCTTTTCACGCCAGCGGTAGGGCATTTCGAAAAGTTGTTGCCGCGAATGGAGGAACTTTCGCGTACCACGTGACAGTTTCTCGCTATCCCATTTTCCATCCCATCGGTTAATTTGTTAATTTGGCCGGCTCACATCAACGGAACTCCTCTATTACGTGCCACACTCTGTGTGCGTGCCCTGGCTGCCTGAACTCAAAGGTATATTTCTTATTCTTACGTCGTCAGAGGTATGTATACAACCGGGTTGTATCAGTTCTTTCACAGGCCGTCTGGGCGCACTTGCTCGGCATGGCATGCGGTTTGGTCTGCATCGAGTCGATCTGAAAGCAAACCAACAACCCACGCAAAACAGGTGTCGGGGTCCCGTGTCCAACTGGCGGGAGAGCGTCTTCCCCTTGTTGTCAGGGAGCCGGGGACGCGTGTACTCCGACCCTGCGCTCTACCCTGTCGGGTGTTCAACTCGTACATTCAGGTACATATGTATGATTTTTTCAACACCATGCACGCAACGGCCTAATGCACCCCCGACTTGCCAAACAGTACGGAGAAATGTATAGGCACACCATCGTAGTTGATGGCTCCATCGTACACAGTAGCCACTGCTGGAGTTTGCCGTCGTTAGGTCACTATATGCGTGTTGCGTCCTTTGGTTCGAATCGACCAGCCCCGTGTTGTCTCTTGCTTCCCCGCTCTCGGCGGAATCTCTTCGATCTTCTGTAATTTTTGTAGAACTACATGTAATTTCTCTTACTCTGTGGTTCGACGAGGAAAAACATCTCCTTGTTGTACCCTGAGTAGAAAAAACGTCCCAATCACTTCGGCCCATGTACACACAGAGGCGAGCGGAGTGGACAGCGGCGGCGATAACGGTACAGCGCACCTTGAGGGGAAAGCTGTGCCGCTTGCGGTGGGAGAGGGGGGAACAACGCAAGGCCTGGGCCGCGATGGTTCTAAGGAGCAAGCTCTCCGCGGTAATGGCAAGGCGCCTGTTTAGGCGGCGGCTGGAGCAGAGGCGATCTGAGCACGGTACGCTCGTTGCCGCACGTCTGCAAACGCCTATCGAGAGAATAATTCGGCCAGCGTCCTTGAACCTTACCCCTTAGAACTTCTTTTTCGGGACACATTTGCTGTTTGAGGCTGTTTGCGTTAGCCTGTCGAATGGTAGATTTCTTCATCACGTCTGCCGCTCAGTTCCAGTACAGAGCCCACTCATGTTGGCTTAGCAACCCTTATCTGCCCGGAATCCCATTCATTGGAGATATACCCGTCCCGATGCCCCACCTCTAGTGCTGACCAATCCTGCGTCCCCTCCTTAACCCGAAACACCTACTAAGTTTGCCCTACCCTCTCTCCTCCGTCCTCCCGTCCGTGCGCCCGTTCGACCCCACGACCCTGTTCGTCCGCTGTTAAACGAATCTACATACACTACACCGCGTGGAATGAAAAATGGTGTTGTCGCATCGATATCGCAGTCGCCGCTCGAGTGATTCAGGGGTGCGCTCGTGATCTCTTCCAAATGCGTGATGCTAGGGCTGAGCTGGACAGACGGAGGGCTGAAAGGTGCGGGTGGTAATAATCACGCCATCAACACTGCGACAGCGGCATTACAATGTTACAACTGCACCAACAACGACGCGTTCTTTATTATTTCTTTGGGCTGATGCTTCAAGTGAAGTCTTGAGCGGTATGATCGGGACCGTTTGACGACGGGTAACAGAGGCGTAGCGAGAGTAGCAACCAGTATCCTGGCCGATGACTAGGAAGCTGTCTGAACTCTATGGGGCAGTTGTCTGTCTATCGCTTGCCGGGGTGATTGTCCTGACATTGGTGAAAAATCCCGACTCAAACACCTCGCACCTGAATCAGAGTCTTCGTTTTGTGCCGATCGCCCCGCGGAGAGTACACGGGCATAACCTTTCTCCCAGTAGAACACAAAGTGACAAGCGGGCCGCGGGCAAGCCCCGTGTACACACAGGGTACCTCACCTTCGAATGTTTTCAGCGTCAAGCATTCAATTCTTCGAACGCCATCGAACCGCGTTCATGTAACACTTGCCTCAAACGCTGGCAAGCAGACCCGCCTTTCTCAAGAGCGCTTTCAGCACTTGAAAGCCATGTGTGCAACAACAGACGCCCTCAACAGATGTAACTTTTGCTTTCGCTCTCTGCATGGCGCGTGACACCCTGTTCTTCTTCGCCCGCCCGATCTGAACGCAAACCGTGCTCTCCGTAATCCGTAATGAAGGAGCGCGGCCGTTATGGTCCAGCGAGCGGCGAGAGGAAGGTTGGGAAGAGTGAGGGCGAAGTTAACGAGGCAGCGGCAGCAAAGGGTCGAAGAAAGCTGGGGGTGGATGGTCAGAAAGCTTGAGCGGCATCGAAATGCTTTGGAGTGAGTCTGTTGTGTTGTAGTTGTTGGTTTTGCTATTGTGGGTTAGGTTGTGTGGTTGTTGCCACCTCCCGGTTGTCGGCCAATCCTCCTGCGTACGAGAGGAAGAGGGTTCACGTGGTGATTGCCTCACCACCCAGCCAGGCGCTCCGGTTGGTCACCTCTCGTACCATACACTTCGAGACAATACAGGGCCTTTCTTACTCCACATTCAGATACGACCGCCAAGGTTCGGGGCGCTCCTTGTGTTTCTGCCATATCTTGTTAATGCACGCGCTCGCGAGAGAAAAGGGGTAGGGGCAGTCTATTTCAATGGTGCACAAAAGCCACGGTGAGCCAAGCGCCAGAGAGCATGGCCGGCCTTTAACCCTTCTTTTTCTTCGGCCTTGTCATTCTTTGAAGCTCTGCATATTCCCCAAATCGCAGCCAGAGAACCGACGGGTGGACCAAAACAACAAGCAATTCACCGATCACATACGTCACGCGCTCGTACTGCTCTCACTTCCCTCGATGTCGGGCTTGTCTCCTCCTCCCGCTGTCACATCACCCACCCTCCCTCGTTCCGTTTGTCGCGACGGACGGCGCGCTCGTGATTCTTAAAAATTGGAAGATTGTGGCGCGTGTACATGGCGATCGCGGGCTGCTACATCAAGCTGTGGCGAATAGCTCGGCGCCAGAGGAGCAACCACGTACGTAAGGGTACCATATGTGAGGACGAGCCCCGTATAGCCTTGAGCGGCTCGGAACGAAAGCTCAGATTGTTTGAAAGCTTGAGACGTGTTGGTTACAATGAGCTCAACAGCGTCGTAAGGGGCACGACAGTTTCATGAAAAATGAAGCCGTTCTCTGGCCTCGTAACAAATCATTTCACCACCAGGCACGTTACGAATCTGCCTCCAAGTTCGAGGGTTTGCTGGTTTTGTCCGTGCTGTGTATATCGTCTTGGCTGCGTTCGGGAGGGACGAGTTGTCTCTTGGTGGAAAACAGCGCTAGCTACTTGAATGAGGTTAACTGAGGGTAAGACCAGAGAAGAGAAGGTCAGGGTTGTATTACAGCGGGATTTGAGACCGGGATTTGAGACCGAGTGGGGTTAAAGCCGCGCTGGGGCGTGTAGTAAGAGATACGGTCTACGTGTGAAGTCTTGTCACGTCTTGCTGTTTTCAAGCTTTGTGTGGGAAGGTGAAGAAACAGCTCTGATGTACTGTCGGACAGTGTCGCCTTTTTCTATCGTTTGAATACATCCCAACCTTATTCGTAGAACCTCCGTTGTTGATGTGCTAGGCCTGTCGGAAGATACAGCTAGCCTGGAAGCGAATGCTGCTACGGCGGCAAAAGCGGCAAGCCATTATGGCGGAGCTGGAAAGGTGAGATGGGCTGTTGTTGTTGATCTACTGCATCTCCTCCTCCTCCCTCCTCCTCCTCCTCCTCCTCCTCCTCCTCTTCTTCTTGTAGTTCGTCGTTCGCTGTTGTTGTTGTTGTTGTTGTTGTTGTTAATGTCGTTGATATGTGGCGTCGTGGTTGTTATCGTCGTCGTCCTTGTTCATGTTGACGTTGTTGTCACTTGGCTTTGTTGTACCAAGGGGGTAAAAAGTGTCGCTCCAAATACAGTTTTCCCGAATGTTTCCGAAGAACAACGATGGCAAACTCCACCTTTTTTGTGGAACTTATCATAGATTTTCTGAAAGCTAAACAGAATTGATTAGGTTTGATGTAAGTGATACTAACGACAGTTCTGAAATTGATGTATTATTGTATTTTTGATGCATGCAGCAAGGATTTTGATGGCGATGACGAACATAGCGACGAGAGTGACAAGCTCACGATAAGATCTCATGCTATTGTTGCTTGCTTGCTGTGCCTTCTAAGGCGGATCATCGCTGCAGCGACGATCCAGCGTGGCTGGAGGAATTACTTCCGCTGGAAGTGGATGATGAGGGACGTGCGCCTCAAGGAGCAAGTAAGCCCGAAATAACTGCTTGCTGTTTCTTTCGTCCAACAAAGCCTGTTTCGATTTCTGGAACAAGAAAACTGACGTATTGCTCTGGCGGTGTACCTTGTCCCGTAGAAGTGGATGGCACTGGATTCAGAAGCAGAAACAATCCCAAATAGACGAATGCGAATTGTTTTATCGGAGAGCATCCGTCTTGAAGTTCCTCTGTGGTGGACGCCAGATACGCTGCACGTCCATTTCTGGAATTTCTGATGGGCAGCAGATGTATGTCTTATTCATTTTACCCGCAAGTTGTCTGGAACTCATAGTAGCTCGCCTCTCCGTCTCTGTCGTTCTCCACAGACGTCTCGGAATATGTTGTAACCTATCTTGGGGCAATTGATGCTTCCTCAAGCGTCCTTGGTACCCCTCGTATCCCTGACCCGCCACATAGCACCCCCCTACCCTTTAAGCAAACCTTGTATTTTTAGTCCTCTCCCTCGGACTCTTGTGTTCTTCCGTTTCCGACGCACCTCCCAACAAACGACGACCGACATTGATTTCGTCGCGATAACAGGAGTTCAAGAGGCAGGGGTTCAGGAGGGAGTACGCACAGATGGAACTGGCGTTCTGGTGGCGGCGGGTTCGCGTGAAGCACTTCAAGAGGACGGTGCTGAGGCAGCTGATGGTAGCGCGAAAGGCCGTCAACGTGATCAAGGCAAGAAGAGGAGCAGATGGCCTTATTCTGCAGCGGAGCTCAATTGCAGTCAGTCTCGTCGTTCTCCTTGCTCACGAAACAAACACACCACATCATTTGACGATGTGTTTTCTATGTGGCCTTTACAGTGTCTTGGTTGTGAAAGACGAACAAGGCGCGATGTGCAGCGCTTGCATGCGTTCATGTGGCTGTCTCTCTGGTTCGCGAATGTGAGCCGCCACACGCGTACAACGGTTCGTAGAATCTCGGTCAGCAATATTTTTAGCCCACTCTTTCGCGTCCCTGTCGAGAACACCTCAGCGTCTTGAGGTGTTTACTCCTTCAAGGATCGCCACATGTACGCACCTCTCAGCATTTATCTAACCTTCGAAGTTTTATGGAGTTCACCACCAGTTTGCTCTATTACCATATAGTGCCCTCCAACACGTGCTGGGAAAATCGAACGTCCAAAGAATCTCGCCCCCCTCCTCCTCCTCCTCCACCTCCTCCTCCCACAAACACCGCCTCGCGTAAGCGTAGAGAGCCTACCGGAGCTACATGGTGCGGACGCTAGCAGTTCGAGCGAAGAAGAAGGCCATCGCGATGCGGTGTAGATGGCGGCGTATTTACCTGGGGATCAAGAGACTTCCCCGCCCCGAAGACACGGCTAGGATTCAGATGATACTGAGGAGGTATATGCATATACGTCGGAAACGGAAAAAGTGCTCTCGTTTCGATAAACGTTCGATATACACTTGCCCGATATGTTGTTGTCGGCAATAATATTGGTACGATGAATGTGGGTGTTCCTTCATGTTAAAATCTTCGTGAGATTATTACAAGAGGTAGCGATTCGCAACAAAACGACTTGTGACCATTCGATTTACCGAGAGCTTGCCGGCGACGCCGTTCAGTTTTTGGACCGTCCCGGCTGTAAAGCAATTGAAAGTGTCAAGCTCGGAACACCACCGAAGGGAGGCTCATTCCTCCTACGTCGCCTACCGTTTTTTTTGGACAAGTGCCCTCTATTCTCAGGTTCATAGCCATCCCTTGGCGACTGCCTTTTTCGCTTTTCTGTATTGCTGATGCTGGTGCTGGAGCTGCTGGTGCGTGCTACTGGTGATGTTGTCACTGCAGCTGCTTTGATTTACCATCACGTTTTTTTCCGCCCTCGCCCGATGCGAACGCTGAAACAAAATTAGGTTCATCAGGAGACGGAAGAGAAACAAGGCAGCTACGGACATCCAGCGTGTGTACAGGGGGGTGCAGGCTAGGTGCGCTGTGTGGAACAATTATTACCTTTGCTCGAGTAGAAAACGAGGCGGCGGCGTAAGTTGGCTTCATGTGCTGATGGGGCTTCTTCGCGTCCGCCACCTCAAAAAGCAAGCTAACGCCAGCTCCCTCCCTCGCCAATGAAACAGTTGAGCAATGTCCGTCTGTCAGAGCAGTGGACTCCCGACTTGGTAGGGCGCGAGAGCGCGTTGTAAGGAGCGAATAGCGCCTTCCACCATTCTCAACCAGTTGCTATCTTACGGAATGCTTCAATAGAATGAATTCCAGCTGCTAAATTCAGCACTGTACTATTGCTTAGCTGAGAAGAATGCGACTTGACAATCAATTGTACCCACTGGGCCTCCCCCCCCCTCCGGCGATGTTTGCCATCGGGGTTGGGTTTTAATCGCTTGGCAACGACGGTGTAAAACAAGCGGCCGCCCCGGTGTTTGCTATCGAGGTTGGGTTTTTGTCGCTTGGCAGCGATGTCGTAAATCAAGCCGATCATTTCGTGAGCTCAGCAACCAGGTTACCGCTTTTTGTTTTGCCTTTGTTTTTTGTTTTTGCGGTAACCATGAATGGTGGTCGAGTAGATTATGTTGTGCGGGGTCGAGAACCCTCACTCCGCGCAAAGGGGATAATCGCACCACGTTGTGTTAAATTGGTCAAGCACCCTCGAGGCAGTTTCACAGCGCTTACAACTGTCTCTGGAAGTGAAAGCACCAGAAAATAAATTAAGTCATACGCAGCTGTCATCCGTACGCAAGGAAGTAAGCACAAGATGCCGAACGCCCTTAGCAGGATGCAGCACACCCTTCATGCAACTCGCCGAATACCTCACGGCGCTTCGCGCTTGGTGATGTGAGAGCCTGGTCCGGTGAACCCGGCGTGCTCCGTCCCAGCTTTGTAGGGATGCGAAGTCAATGGTCTAACGACTACGGTATGCACGCCTATGAGTACACCCCCCCACCCCCCTTTAAACCACCGCAGGCGCATCTACGTCGTCAAGCTCGCCCGCATGTACACCATCAACGCCATCAACATCCAGAGGGTGGGCAGGGGACACATCGCGAGGAGGGGAGAGGTCAGGGATGTCCTGGAGGCCAACCACGCCTCGAGGGTCATCACAAAGGCGCTCCACACCTACATAAGGAACAAGGTACCATTATCTAGTAACGGATCTTCGGCGAGGGTACCACAGCAGACAAAGCCTGTCGGGCTCAACAACAGTACCGCAAGCGCGGACGTCGACAGCGCGGAAGTCGTCAAATCTCCCGACCGCCCCTCCCGCACTGATGGGCATACCAGTGGGCGATGAGGCATTCCCGCCCCACAGCTATCCCTTTGCGCTCTGACTCTTATCCGGACGAAGACGATGCTCGCCCCCCAGCCAGAATGAAGCAACGTGTTTGAAAGTCCCCCCCCTTTTCCCCTGTGTTGGCCGCAGACCTTCCGTGATGTGACCAAAACACACCCACGACGGTACCATCCACCATCTCCTATAGGGTTAAGAGAATGGTACCTCTCTCCCTCCCCAACACCAGTACCAGCACGGATGGATCCTTTGCCCCTTCCCTTATCCTACCTCCTCCGTATTATTGGCGTAGGCGTTCCGGGACATGGTGAAGGAAACTCGGGCAAGGAGGGCAAGGTTCGAGCGCCTCCAGCGAGAGGCCTTGATACGGCAGCGGGCGGAGGCGACTCTGCGACAGGCGTTCCTCATGAACCAGGAGAAAGCGGCCAAGGCGATACAGGTTACAATAGTGCTGTTGGTGGCGTTGGTGGTGATGGCGTTATTGGTGCTGTTGTTCCTGCTTGTCTTGATACAAGGTTAGTGCTGCAGGTGGTTTTGGTAGTGATGATGGTGGCGTTGTTGTTATTGTCGTTGTTGTTTGTGCTTCTTGTGCTGTCGCTGATGGTTGTCGTCGTGTTGATGCCGGGTGTCGACGACTTACGACTGCTTGACGGCAGTCGCGATGGAGGCGGCGGCAGGCCAACAGGCGGAGAGAGGAGGCAAGGCTCCTACAGGTCGAGATGGACCAGAGACTCGCGCTCGATAAGAAGTGAGAGATGCAGCGAGAAGAGTAGACCAATGGAGGAGCTTCTTTAACTCGTGCTTGTTCTGTTTCTGTGCCTCCGAATGAAGTGCCCATGTGCAAACCCCTGTGTCTCGACATAATACCTGATAGGTTTTCTTTTGGTGCGCTTACTGCTGAACATATGAACCAACCGGGACATTCGTCCGCGGAAAAACTAGTTTTGACGGATTGATGGTAACGATGTGAAGTTCGTTTTTCTACCTAACAACAGATCAAACTTGGAGTTTTTGGAGAATACAGAATACGACGTAGCCTTAGAAATGTATCGAATTCAACCGGCATGGAATCTTGGGCCCTTGTGATTTCGTTTGCTCGATACCTGCTCGATGTGATGGCACAACCACCGTAGCTTGCGCCGCGACAAGGCGGTTCGTTTGCATCCAATGGACCAGCGCCCTCATGAACCCAGCGCTGCCCCTGTACATCGCTGAAATCGTTCGGCCTCCTGCATTGAGAGAGTACGCCGTCGCCAAACTGGCAGCACTCGTGCGCGATGCTTTTGTCTCTCTCCTATGTTTAAAGACATTGCACGCTATCTGAGATGCGGTGAGTACGCCTTAATAAACCTTTCCGTGGTCTGCCAGCTGCTTGATGAACGATGGGCCAGCGCTATTGGTAGACCATGGGATTGGGCTAAGAAAAAACACAGACGGAAAAGTGTGTGTGTGTCCCCCTCTCGTGGGCCATTGTTGTTGGTGTCACTGTTGTTGTTGTATCCACATTCCATACCGATCCAACTGCTGTTGCGGGCGCCATACAATCTAATGAAAGACTGCTGCCTGTGCCCACACCGCCGTGGACCGAACAACGTGATATGTGTGTGCATATATTCTACCTCCCACTCAGACTCCGGCAGAAGAAAATCGAGGAGCTCAAGAAACTGCAGAGAAGCGCGTCCCCTGCGAAAAAAGTGGGCGGTGTGCTGTCGGCCCTCGGACGGAAGCTGAACAAGCTTACCGCGCAGGAGGACCCCGAACTGGCGACGGAGGATCATATCGCGATCGAAGAAGACGAGGATGACGAGGAAGAGGTGGGGGAGGGCGGGGTGTTTCTGTTGCTGATTACGATCGTCGTCGTGGTTGTCATTGTTGTCGCTGGTGCTGCTGTTGTTGCTGTTACTGCTTCTGCTGTTGCTGCCAGTATTGCAATCTGCCTTGACATGGAAGAGACGATGGAGACAGGGGTGAAGTACGATACGAGGATCTGTGCGTGGCTGTTTCGCAGATACAGTTATTGCCAGTATGAAGTACTTCCGTACCGAGTTCGATGTGCAATAAGCTTCGAATTATCGCTTGCAAAGTAAGTCTTGTTTCAAGAACATCAGAGACTCCCGTGGTGCTTCCCCCGGAAAACGTGCGGGAGAGGCGATCAATACCGGCCAATCCTCCCGCCACCGCACCACCCACGTTGCCTATGTCGACTCTTTCCCCCCGCCGGCTCGTTTGTGTTAAATATTGCTTTTGGTCCGGTTGGCACTGTAGAGGCCAAAGAGCTCCGCGACAACCCTCCTTGGCAAAATGAGAGGCATGACAGAAGAGGAGAAGGCGGAGAACGCGAAGCAGGACACCGACGTGCTGGCCAACTCCATCCTCAACCACCAGACCAACTCCAACTTGCAGGCGAGAGAAGTGAAGCCTTTGAGCGACGACAGCGTGGTTCGTAGCGACGACGACTAGTTAGACTGATCGCTGTTGTCTGTGGGGGAAAGAACCGCTTACACGTTTGCAAACATTGGACGAAACCGCAAGAATGAAAAATGGAATAAGCACGGTTAGCCTCGACACGAAATGTTTCATCAACGGTTGAGAAATAGACGAAGCCAACCACAATTTCGAGGTTGATGTGATATCCCACGCACAGGCAAGAAGAGAGTGAGAGAGAGCGAGAGAGAACCATGAAAACAGTGCACCTTGTTGCTCACACCGCGGGAGTGCGCACTACAGTAGTCCGGGTGTGGGGGGCGGTGCGGGGGGATTGTATGCCAGCTGCTGTGGGTCTCACCGGCGTGTGCTACGAGAGACAAACTGGAAGCAACGTACCAAAGCTTGGCCAAGCCACCAACATCAGCAACGTTATACCACAGTTATGCAAACCTGAGACTAAACTAGGGGCGTGGCCGCCGAACTGTCCACGTTCGTATCGTTTCGAAAACAACTCAGTAGAGATTTATTACACCGACAGCTGATTTTCTGTGCCGCACCTTTTTGCATGGTGCACACTACAACGTTGATGACATGTATCAGGTGGGAATCTGCGGGATCCACGTCACCGTGGGCAAGAAAGAAGAGAAGGCCTTCATGGAGGCTCAGGACTACCTCAAGGCCACAAAGCAGGCGAGCGGATTGATTTTGTAGGCTTTCGCTGGATCTTTATGTATGTGTCCAATGGTGTCACAGGGATGTTATTGAACTCATCCAGCAAATGTTTAGAAAACCAACACAGTCAGTCAAGAGGAGAGCCCGTGGCAGATGGTGACGGGTGTCGCAAGCCCACCATTCAGACGAGGAGGGATTTATGCTACACTGTCGAGAGTTGATGATTTCATGGCATTGTTCTGTTCGCTGGATCCATACTTATCCAACGGTGCAGCGAGGTGGCCGAAGTTTCATGTTGTTATCGGTAAGAAATAAGTGGCGAGGAAGCTCGCGGCTATCACGTCAAACCCAAGCAGGGAAGGAAATCGATTGGCGGTACACCGTAGGCAACGAAGGAAATGCGCTTTTTTAAATATATGGTGATTGCCCACTCTCCTGCTCTCACTCCACCCACGCGCGCGAGAGGGGTGCTCTCATTTCCAATCCATACCCATACACAATGCGTGCTGTAGGGAGTATGGTCAAAAATAGTTGTCCTTTGACACGCGCCGCATCGTACGAGCTCTAGCGAGGTTGCTTGTGCAGAATCAGGGCAATCCACAAAACCGAAACGTTTTTGGTACGGCAACGAAACGGCTTGGATAGTAACACGTGGTTGGCATGGTGCTTTATATTACAACATCGTCTTCAGGAGCACATGGCGGCAGTGGAGGGAGACTTGAGCGGCAAGAAGCAGCTGAACGTGCGCCTCTGGCTCAAGATGGGGCAGGGGGATGGTGTGGTGACGGATGTTAAGATCCACAAGGCCCCGCCCAACCACGCCAACTCGGCCGTAGCAAAGGTGCACATGCTTTGACGTTGGTGTTGTGCCGTTTTCCCTGTCTATCGCTGTTGCTGATGTTGAAAATTGCAGTGCGTTACAACCAATCAGTCAGGTGAGAATCATGGACAGTTCCCTATACCACCTGACGTGTCGAGCTTGTTGCCGAGACCCCCCCGCTCAAAACACGAAGGGCATCACGCTTACGGTCCTTCCTTCGGCGTGCGAGCACAGGTGCGGAAAAAAGAAGCGCAGCTGGCGTCCCGTATGCTCGTCGGACACAACCGCTGCGACTTGGAGCTCATGTGCAAGGTCCTCAGGTGAGCGCGAAGAGCAGCGAGCAAGAGCGAAAGTATCCAACGGCTCCCAGCTTAATTCAAGTGCACATGGAAGCAGAAAATAACAACAATGTACGAACGCATATTTGCAGGTTGTTGCTGTTGTTGTTGTTGTTGTTGTTTTCTTCAAGTTAATAAAACCGTTCCAATTCCTCTACCCAGTACCTTAATCTGTCCTTGGAGATTGTAGAACAATGTCCCGCCGGCTTAGTCAACAGCAGCGTCTCTTTTCTGTCACACTTCGTTGGTTCAACTCGTTGCTGGTGCTCATGTTGGCGCTCAGTCGGACCGAGGGGCCCGCCCCTGCGGTGGATGACCTCGTCTTCTGCCCCAACAAGACCGGCGAGGCCGACCTGCTGGGCCGGGGCTATGAACGCGTGGAGCCGATGCTGAAAGCGGTTGGTCTAGGAAAGGTACGGATCCGGCCAGATAAAGATGGAAAGTTGTTGGTCTAAGTGCGCACAACGGCATTTGAAGCGGGTGGCCAATGGTCTCTGAAAGCCGGTTGTTTGATATAGTGCTTGTTCTCGCGTACGACGAAAATACTAGAGTTGCGTGGTCTAAGCACAATACTAGTAGAGGCACATCGCGATAGGTAGAGAATCGCTAGCCGCCACTGTAAGAACGGCACACATCATCGGTCTTGAGAAAGCAACGCATACCGTACGCCAACCACAGATTTGTAATAGCAAGAACATCATCAGACCATAATTGTATAATTTTGTATGGCCTTTGGACCCAAAGGTTGTGTTGGTCTCGAAAGAGGAACGCGAGATACCTCATTTATCAGATCAATTATCCCCAGAAAAACTAAATAGTTGGGCTTATTCCGCTCAGAAACTAGCAAGCACCTCGCTTCCGTAGTGGCTGTTGCCATCCACCACGTCACGATGAAGGGTTGCCTGCAGAGTTACGATTTCCAAAACTTCCGGTTCCAATGCGGGAAACAGACATACTTTTGAGCAGGAACACAACACAGCGCATGGAAATGAAATACATGAAACGGGGAGCTTTTTCTGTTCTTGCCCCCCATCTCTTATGCCAAAGTGAACCAAAACTCAACAAGATGGATCCCAACAACCCCTTAAACTACGGAATGCAGGGTTTCCTGTTCATTCACCGAAAGACCCATAAGACGCGGCCGAAGAAGCTTGATGTGGCCAAGTACCGCCTGCGGAAGAGCGGATGGTTCACGTCTCGCACGGCCCTGCTGCTGGAGAAGTACGCTCTCAGCGAGGAGGAGCTGGTGGCGTTGCATGCCATTTTCAGCGAAACTGACTTCAAGGTTGGCATCGTGTGGTTGTCGTCGTAATTTTTTTAGGTTCACTTTGCTTAGCTGCGTGCGATTTTGATACGTCGTCTCTCTCGTGAGTGTTGTCCGTTGTCCGTCTTGTCTCTATACTGCCTTCGGAGTGTGGGTAGTTTCACATATCTCGGACGATGGCCTGAGTTTCGTGCGTGGTGGTACGAAGTGTATTCCGCCAGTACCGCTGCAGGTACAGTGTCGTCCTTGTTAATTGCCGAAAAATTATTTGTTTACTGGCTGCTGCCGACATAGAACCTCTCTTGAGACTTGAACGCGCATTCCAGCAGGTCATAATTTTCCGCTCATACACCTGTTTCAGCTGCTCACAGCAGTGCACCTGTATGATCTTGCTCGTCCTCCTCAGATTTCAGAATGTGCGGTTCTTCTTCCTCTCGAAAATGAACTATTTCTCTCTCATGCCCTACCTTGAGGGCACCGTTTTTCTTCCCCGTCTTTGTCGCCAGGATCAAGCGCCTCTAGAACGCATGCTCAATATCGCATTCATTGTCTTGCGGAGACAAATCACCCATCGAGTTTACGTGTTCCCCGCAACAGGCATGGGATGATTCGCATTTCTGGGTCGTCGTCCTTTGAAACACCGCCCGTTAGAGCGACAGTCCCTCTTTTCTTCCATCTGCTCCCACTTCCCTCTCCCTCCCGGCTCATGTGTGTCCTCGTTATCTCCGCAATAACCGCGCGTCTAGGGAAATTCCACGATGGACGTCTACTCCTTCTTTTCAGAGATTGGAGAGGATGAGACGCAGTACGGACACTGGCTGCTCCAGGCGGTAGGGGCGGGAGGGCAGCAGAACCGTGACATAACGTGGGACCAGTACTTGGAGGTACGTTGGCGGTGTTTCGTGCCGTCGCCCGCGTGTTCTTTACACCACCTATCCTGCCCCAACCTTAACCTTTCTATCGAAGCCGCGAGGAAGGCCTTGGTTTCTCATGCCGTCACCCCTTCCATTCCACCTCTCCTTCTTAGCCTCGAGGCAGGCTTTACTTTCTCCTTGTAGTGGGCGTGGTCGTTTCTAGCCTGTGAGTCAATGGTGCGTGAAAAAGGCCAGGTCGGGGTCTCAGAGTTTCTTCGCCGCGACGATGACGACAACCGTGTCATCAGCAACAACCGCGATCAACAGCGACGATAGAAGTACATGAGGGTGTACGGGTGTTCTCGGGGTACGGAAACTTGCTCCAATTTAGGTTGGTGACTGAGATATTGAAGCCAAATGGCCACACGAACAGCGGCATCGCTAGAGACTTTCGACCCCTACCGTCGTTAATGGTTCTTAAAGCAGTACACACCCCGGCCTACGAAAGCAGGAAGGCAACCACAACGTTTTCCGACCTCGAACAGCACGCCTGCCCGCGTCCACTCTCGAACACGTGGCGGTCAACCAATCCTTCCGCCAGAGTTCACCAACCCGTCGGAATAAACCGGCCAACCAACCAAACAGCATTCAGTCCCAGTCAGCACGAGGGAGGAAACCCTACCTCACAATACCATTGACGGGACGACATGAAATCGGAAAAACACACAAACAGGTGGTGTGCTTCTTCAGCATGTTCAGCCGACGAGAGGTCCTCCGCTTCGCGTTCGGCTCCCTCGATCCGGGAATGCGGGGGTACCTCGACGAGAGCGACTTCCAGGTATGTATCCATCAACTTACGCGAAGCGGCTTCTTGTGTTTTTGTCGAGGTCACGAAGCCAGATCCCCCCCTGCCACCACTCCCTGATGCGAGTGACGTACAAAACGCGCGAGAAACAGATGCCGGGCACCACTGAGATGATCGCTACATGACGTCTTTTGAACGTTTCGCCTCCGCCATGCCTTGTAGTGTCCCTGGGTATGGGTTGCGGTGGGTATCTTGTTATGGCAAGGTACCCTCTAACAAATATCTTCTTTTCCTAGCGGTTATCTCGGTCTTCCGATGCATCTTTGTCGAAATCGCGTAAAATTTTCACCAGGAGCTGAGAAGTGCTGGGAAGGGGGGGAGGGGGAGATGACCGCGCGTATCGATAGCTTTTGGTGACATGCCACGGTGACCCCTGGCGACAGCAGTGGTAGAAATACGTCCATGATTTTTCCACTCATTCTGAATGTTCCACACGCGTGTAGCGTATCACGTACAATAGTAGGTGCTCACCTGTTCCGCAGATATCAACTATCCATTTTGCTGTACGAAAACACACCAAGTCTGCGAAAGGCAAAGAACCATTGAATTTACAATGTCGTACACAACGCCGAAACTGTACTAGGGATCAGCACTGTTTTCGTACACGGTGAATATCTTTATCTTTTGACGGAAATCCGGACTACAGGACGGTGGAGATAGATTTGTTCCCGCCATCATCAGTCAAGACTATCTGTGTTGCTTTGATGCCGGAAGCGCAATCAATCGATGATGCTCCCCTGCCCATTCGTTCATTTCTGCGACCTTTTGTTCGTGGGCCTCGCGGGGAAACTGTTTCGCCTCGTCTCGTGGCCACGTTCGGCGGCGGCACTGGTTGCGGGGGGGCACGAACAAACGCTTTCGACGACAACGCGACGATGGCAACCAACCCTGATCGACGTGCGGGGCATGGCCGACGCGTTGCAGAGGTTCTTGACTGCGGTCTTCCAGCACGAGTCAGGCATCCCCGGCAACTACAACGGCAAGGCGAAGAGGGGCTTCAGCAGGCTGGCCAACAGCGGAACACAGCTCGATTTCCCGCAGTTCGAAAAGGTGAGGGTAGCGCGGGCACCGTGTCCAACTAGCGGAGTCGAATCCTTGCCGAGTTGCGTTTAGCTCTCTGCGAAAAATCGACCCAAGAGCAACGCCGACCGCAAACGGTCGAACCCCCCCGTTCCCATGATATCCCCATTGTTTCCAAATGTGAAGAACCGGCAAGCGTGCCTCACAACCAAGTCCTTGAACGTCTTCAAGCCCTAGACAGACGCAATAGTAGGAGCAGCTCACACTTGTTTTCCCAGCGTGTATGCTTGCCGATCCGTGCAGTCTGTATGTGTGTGTGTTTTCGCCCCTTGCACTAGGCTATCCACTGCTTCTATCCTCGCCCCCGGCCGCCACGAGCGTCTGGCCATCCAAACTAAATCCTCTCCCCCCGCGTCGGCCTTTCTTTGTCGTCATTGAACCTTGGACCTGACACCAACGCCAACGCCAGTTGTGCGCCCAGTACCCTCGCCTGCCTCACCCCATCTACCGGCTGCAAACGGCGATCCACAAGCACAACCTCGGAGAGAGCTTTTGGGACCAGAAGAGAGAGATCTTCACCAACGCCCGTGTCGCTGTAGGTGTTGAAAAAAATTACTAGCTTGGCCACGCGGGAGAGGTGGACTATAGCCGGAAGAGGAAGATATGTTCGTAGATACCCTTGTGTGTGTTAAAGACACGTCTCGTAGTTATAGGCAGGTGCTGTCAGAAACCGGCCGGCGAGTGTTACTCTTGCCTTCCTCGCGTGGCTGCTGCTGGTGCGTTTTTAAAACTTTACTTGGTGGCGTGGGCAGGCCAACAGCTTGGCTGAGGTTCCCTCGACCTTCTCTGTACGATCTGTGCGTTTTCCACGGCGGCGGTGTTGTCGTGGTGGGCAAGGAGCTATGGCGTCGCCAGGTCTAGCGAGCACGTGGTGTTCGCCCGTAGGACACAGGGGGGCCGGTATCCACACTCCTCGCGCCGTGCTGCATCCACCATTGTGCTGTAACATTTGTCACCCCAGGGTTCTATTTCAATCACCTGGGTTAGGCGAGGCGATTCACGAGACCTTGCAGTATGCATGTATCGATGCAAGACCCGATAGTCCAAGACTGATATCACCACGCGGTCAGGTGCTGATGCTCGGTACTGTCTCCGGAATAGACATGGCTTAGCCACCGCCTTATCAATCGCAAGTTACTTTCTGAATCTAGTCTGCGTGACCAAACGTGCAGATGTAGATCAGGCACAAGTCACTTCGTGCCGGTTGTGAGCCTTTGCATCCTAGGGCCCTAGAGCACCAGAACTCGCCGACAGACGCAATGCGGACAGCAACCTAAAGGCACCGGTGACTGCATCGCGTTCTTTCGACCATGTCCCTTGCGGTGGTCACAATTAACAGCCGGTATGGACGTTGCAAAGAGTACACAGCATACAAGCCGCTCGTTGCCGTTTCCGGTATGGTTCCAGCCAGCAACAGCGGTACCAATACGAAGGCAGAGAGATGGCACCCGTCGGGGAGACGACACCGGCGTGAGCGCATACAACACCGCCGTAGCACCAGAGGGCCGCTGCGTATACAATTTAATTGGGCATTACACGCACGGAGAGGTCGCACCCAGGTGCCTTGAAAAAGTTAAACGAACTGATTAAATTGTATTTCTGCACCGGGGTGCGAAAAACAACAAGAAAACGATTAAAACAGTGCGCACCCGGTGTCATCTCTCCGCCTCACATCATTCCAACGAACATCCAAAACATCTATTCAACGTAATACGGCGGAGAGATCGCCCCCGCCCCCCAACAAATAACACGTCTAAAAACCCGTGCACCCGGTGACATCCCTCCGCCTCTCAACGTACACATCAAAGAACTACGCCAAGTATCCATACTTCCAGCGATCCAACACATCCAAATAACGCTCGTTCAACATTCATGCCATGCACACGTCGAAATACTAAAGTACTCTGCATCTTGTAAAACGATTTCGATTCACCATTGCTGGGGAATGTCGCGACACGATACGACGCAGTCCAGAGAGGGACACTCGCGCGAATCCTATGCACCTCTCGCCGATGCGCACGTGACTCAGTAAATGGGAGACCATCATGTTCAAAGGTTTCCTTAAGCCAAGCGTGTCGTATCTCTATCCCTGACACAAAGAAATAAGGGCGACTCTATCGGGGCATTTTCATCTCACAACTTGGTGAGCCTCCGTAGGTGTATTACCAATGCCAACCCTTGGTCCTCTCTTATAGCTTACATCAATACAGCACAGTTCTAGGGTGTGCCTCTACGTTACACCCTGGTGGTCAATTATACACGTTTGGTTCGCGTGTGCGCGCGTCCGCGTAGTAGCCGAAGGACCCAAGCAAGAACGACGATCATCTTCGGCAAACTATCAAATCATGCGACGCTCACAAAACCAAGTGCAAACTCATGAGGTCTGCGGCAAGGCGAGGGTGTCGGTACACCATTTTCGGGCTTGCACTCTGGGTGTGACGCCGCCACCCTTTCGCCATGAAACGATCAGGAGTCGTTATCAAGCATCTTCACGATGATCATGGACTGCTTGACAAGCTGCCTGGCATTCTTATGGGAGGCAGATGTAGCCGTCTTCCCCGCCGTCCTCGCTCCCGTTCACGTACACGTCGGGGCAGACGTAGTCGTAGTCGGCCTGCAACAGCCCAACAACCGGTGGACAATGATTTCGCACAACACCAATTCGTTGAGGGGAACCGATGACCAGTTTTGAGACGTGTGAATTCGAAGCTTAGAAACCAATTTGTTGAGGGGATCGGTCACCCGTCTTGTTCAGAGGTACGCGGAGGTGTTAATGTTCATCTCTTCAGTTCAAGCTGTGTGCTCTCTACCTAATAGTACCAGACACGGTTTTCCGCAGGTAGAAACGATCGTAACCCCAACACGCGCAGAAGAAGGGGATCACACGCTCAGATGGAGCTCAACACGTTCGTCGAGAAGGAAAAAAACTATTTACCACAACAACGGACATCAACAGAAAAAAAATCACGAGAACATCCAACTCTTCCTAGCGTACGCAAAATCGGCCGATGCTTAAGATGGCCGCCATGCCATCTGAGAGCCTGACACGAACAAGGGAGACACCACCGTATGTTGCTCGGGCATAATTCATACTAAATTATCGTGGACTGCTTCTAAAGGAACACAGGGCAAAAAAATGTAGAAACACAGGTAGGTCATGTAAAACTTTGACTTCAATAATTTATCATGGACTTTGGGTGGTTCAAGATATCGTACATGAGACAATCAACAAGAAGAGAGTGACGGGAGGGACCACAGGCCGGCGCAGGAGGCCGTCACACAACCAAATCCAAGGAAATGGTCTGGGTAAGGGGCAAGGAATACAGAAGCAATCAAGGAAGGACGGGTTTGCAGGAGAAGTGCGCATCCGTTTCTCACGTTCTGCAGAACGTTCCCCTCGTAGGTAGCGTCCTGCGGAAGGAACTCGATGTTGGGGTAGGTCGTGGCGATCGCTCCGCCGTGGGCGTCGGCAGAGTTTCCGATGAAGTCGACGTGTTTGATGAACCTGTTCGACCAATAAAAGTATCGTACCCGAGGTGGAACGGGCCACGTCAGACATCCCTCTGTTTGGTTTCTCGCCAACCGTACGGGTGGTATCGAAAATACGGTTCTTCCAGGTGAGCATTAGATACCGGGATATCATTTCAGCGACAACGACGACAGCAGAAAATCATCAACAGCAACATGCGCGCCTGACAGTATTCAGTAAGCTTCTGGAGGTAGTGCCTACTGCGACGAAAAACTCTTGCAAAGAGCCACCAAGTCGGGCAGCGGCTTGGCGAATTGTTATTATATCGAGAGATGGGATTTGCTTTTTCAACGCAATCGACAAGTGGGGTTCTGTTTTTTCACCGCACTCTGCCAAAGGAAAAGGATGGGGCAGGATGGGGCACTCACACCATCTCCGAGACATCCCCGGCGTTGATCGCGCCGCCGCTGCTGCCGGAGACCCCGTCTTCGAACACGGCCGTGTTCCTCATCACGAGGACGCCCTCGTTCATGATGTGCCCCCCCCGGTTCTCGGACGTGTTCCGGGCGAAGGTGGCCTTGGACCTCTTGAGAAACTTCACGACAGCGGTGACGCCGATCCACATGGCCCCTCCTTCCTGCGGAGCGGAAGCCCACGGTGGTGGCGGTGGAGCAACACCAAGCGGGCGCGCAAGTGTCAGGGAGGTGCATGCTGCATGGAAGAACGTTGTATTTTTATAGTCTCATCCGGTTGCAGCAGTGTTCGGTCAACAACAGCAATAAGGAGCTCGGAAGCAGACTTGGTACCATCTGCTTGTACACATGCATGTCCCTCTCTCCGTCGTGCTTGTGCATACTCGTATGAGAACCCGGACGCCGGGTGATGCTACGGCGATTGCTGCGGTTTCTCAAGTCGGAAGTCACTTTGTCACTGAACGCAAATCGATATGCAAGGGTGTGCCACGACCAATCTGCCAGGCGTGCATGCGCGCTCGAGCGTCTTGGCTGCAACCGGTGTTCTGCCTATACCGCGCAGTTGGCCGCAGTGGTGCCTCACAAGAAACGTTGGGGGGGGGGGTGCTCTCTCACATCTCCTTCGTTGTCCGTGAAGACAGCGTCTTCATAGAAAGAAATCTTGCCCTCGGTGTAAACTGCGCCGCCTTCGAGACCTGTGTACCTGCCGTTGTAGTCCTCGGTCTTTCGGGTGTCGCGCGACACCGGCAGCAACGACGGCGGCACAAGACGAACCGGGCCTCTTAGCGAAAAAAGCGGCGAAATTTTCCGCGCGCTCGTCGTACGGCGAACCCCCAGACCAAGACTACTTACAACGGTACTAGTCCACCTGCAGCACCACTCACAACGCGCTCCAGATCAATGAATCTGTTCCGAAAAGCAGGCCGCAACTTGCTGCTTGACAACCCCGTGCGCGGCCCCGAAATCTCCCATCTCTCGGAGGTATGTACATGTTGCGCCTTCCTTCAACAAGAACAAAAACAACCGAGCCCCGATCCAAACGCAGCAGCAATACCTTCTTGCCGTAGCAGTTTGTCATCTCCACCGCTTCCTTGAAGACCACCTTCGCGTCGGGTCCATTCCACAGGGCCCCGCCGTTTCCCGGGTACTTTTCTGCCGTCGACCCAACCCTGCACGCGTCGGCGGTGAACGTGCCCTCAAATCTGACGTATCCCTAATGGCACAAGTTATGCGGGGAAACAAGCAACAGCAGTAGAGTATTAGGAAACATAAATACAAACACAAAAACACTACCCATTCGAGATAACACCACGGTCGAACGGGATGTGCTGAAGTCTTCACAGTGAATGGAGGGAAACCGGCTGGGTACTGGGCTTATTTGGAGTCTATTTAAGCCCTTACGCTGAAATTTTTCGATCAAACATCCGCTTCTTGCGCAGTTTTCGTCCCTTTGGAGCAACCTAAAACGAGCAAAAAAAGAAGCAGCATTCAGCATCAATATCAGCAACCCCCCGTTTTTTTCGTGTTTTTTGTCTCTCTGGAGCAACCAAAAACGAGCAACAGCACAAACTTCTACGAACGAAGGACGGCCAGGCTCACCCGCGGGGCCTACCTACGCTTAATAATCTAAACAATGGAGTACGTACTCAGAGGCTCCAACGCAGTACTACTGTAGTTGTGGCGTCTCTTGCTTGCCGGCCTTGGTCGCTGGGTCTCAATCACTCCCATCCCGTTTGCCTACCTCGTTGTAGATGCACCCCCCGTGTTGCATGGTGTCGTCTTCGACGGTGTTCACCCCGACGCTGTACATCTTCACGGAGTCGAGGAAACGCGCATAGCCCTCCGGGGCCACGTTAAGCACGCCCCCGTTCACTGCCTGTGGGACACCAATCGCGACCGTCGACACAACAACGGACAGTTCCATATTATTACCACGAAACAAGGTGAGTATTCTATCTGGTGTTTACTACGTGCCACCAAACAATTTGACAGTTGAATACCAAAAAACGCGACTCGTATGCATATGTAGCTTCAAGTACATATTCTCCATTCAGTATTGGTTGTTTTATCCTGTGTTCCGAGACAGCAATTTTTTGGCGTCCGCAAAAATTGAAAAATAAAGGAAGAGCTCTCCAAGCTATAGAAAATTAGATAGAAACAACACACATACACGCGGAGGAAAAAGTTGATGGAGAAATAAGTGTTGTAATCATCGGCGCACACACGAAAGAAAGTATTGGACAGTATACGATCTGAGCGGGTTATCTTGCTCGCTCGTCGTTGAACAGCAAGAAAAAAACCCTTGATTATTTTGGATCCGACTTTTCCACAGCCAGCCACATATAGTCTATATCTATGCATACCTACCTGCGGAATCTTTATTTGTTTGTTCGTTGTCAGGAGGGAGCCGAAAAGCTGGTCGCAAGAACTCCCATTATGGATACGACTAAAAGTCGCCGCGGACTGCGCAGAAATTACTTAGTCGGAGTATTATTATTTCGTTCGCTGTCAATAGGGAGCCGAAGAGGTCTATTTAATATTTGTATCAAAAAGCCCGTTAGTAAATAAAGTAGACCGCAAAAATTGCTACTAGAGTCTCAAAAATATTACTGGGGAGTGAGGTATTCACACTTCCGTACACACCCTCTCCCTTCGGTGTGACTGACGTGATTCTCTCTCTTCCGACACCTACTTGTACTCATACATACTTGTCAAATCTCCAGAGAGAAAATTGCCGCCCCCCGGTAGTCCGCGTACTATAGGCTACGGATGGATGCCGTGACCCTGGGTCTCCTCTTTGTAGGTTGGTATGCATACAATGCACATACCATGATATCCTCATGATGAGAAGAGCTGCACATTTTCTCACCAATGAGGCGTCTCACGAGAGAATTCGTTTTACCGTACTATCCCGTTTCTTCTCAGGATGGAACAGGACGGGACTGTACTACGTTTATTACAGTACAGTCGTGGGCCCGGTTTAGCGGTCCGTAGTGTCACGAAAAATTATAACCGCTATTCAGGGCATCGCCGCTAAACCTCTTTAGCGGTTATGAACCGCTAAACCGGGAGGCTCAATAGCGGTGATGAACCGCTAAACCGGGGAAAAGCCCATTTTTGCCCAACAAGAGCAGCGTCGAAAGTTCATCTTGATGTAGGGCCTGCATGTGTCTCATTGCAGGTGTCATAAGAGGGTGCAGATGAAGAAGTATCGACCCTAACGATGACAACACAGCAAGCACATTAGTGCATTTCAATTCACGAAAGCTTTTCCCTGATGCACTGTATGCCATTCACAAAGACTGGAAAATCGTCCCCGTCTCTAACAAACGTGGGGCAAGTTCTTGACAACGCAATGGCAACTAACCACGTGCTTGAGCAGCTCATTTATTTGTACTTGTCGCGTGTTTCCATCATGCTTAACCCAACATCTATCTGATATTCGCTGCGAGGAACGCCATTTTTGCCTTGCGAAGATAGTGTGCTGCCTCGCCCATGCCACACAACTCAGTGCACTCTTCAAGCTGGCCAAAATCCGCCGATAGCTCCGAGTATGGCGGCTGCGCCATCACCCCCTTGCCCTTCGCACCGTCAACTTCTGCGGTGCAATCTCGCTCTAGCTCTAGCTCTTACTCGTCGTCGGAGGGATTAGGCCCCTCCGTGTACATACTGGAGAACTTCTCAACGAGCTTGTTATTCCATCCTTCGGCAAAGCTTCGATCTCTTCCTGCGCGTTATTTCTGAGTGCACTACCTTCTGGTCAAGAATATTCAAAACCTCAGGCTTCTGGCCAAAGTTGGGCCGCGTGCGGGGCTGTCGTGTAGCTGCAGTGCGAGTTGTTTTTGCCGCGCCAGGTGCTAGAAAGCAATTTTCCGCCTCTTTACGCTTGGTTGGGTGAATTTGAGACGGGAGGGGGACTCTGGGCTTTCTTGGTTGCACACTATTGACAAATGACAAATGCGGTGCATCTCGTTGACATCAGGATCCTCCACTTCTCCGTACATGCCGTGCATGCGGCCATGCGGCCACCACAGTCACCTTTACAATCGTGCCCGCCGCTTGGACTCAGTGCCGCATCTGAAAGCTACAGTTCTCCATCCGCGCACCGCATGGTGTGTGTGTGTGTTGCTGTGTGCTGTTATTACGAGCATCGACCACGCTAAGCGGATGACCAATGTCGCTGTGCCTCTGCAAAATTTGAATCGAAAACCGCTACTGGTGGCTGAAAATATGTCCACTAACCGCTATAGAGAGCACGACCGGTTTAGCGGTTAAGTTAACCGCTAAACCGGGGTGTAGCCGTGTCACGAGATTTTATAACCGCTATTCAGGGCATCCCGCTAAACAGGGAACCGCTAAACCGGGCCCACGACCGTACTCGTGTGTGCAAAGAAAATTGTAATTTCACCATCTTTACCGGAAACAAAAAATCAAGTCAGTGCGGATCAAAAATACGAAGAAACAGTCTCGAAAAACGTTACTTCGAAGTACATGTTTCATGAGGACTAAACTAATAAATTACATACAGCAGCAGCAGTAGTCAATCGATTGGTTGTGCCATTCACCCACCACAGGATTGGGGGCGTGTACTCAAAACATGACACCCAACTATCCGCCGTCCCACGTCTATCTAAATTTCACAACAAAGTTGGTATTTTCCACTACGCACCCGACCACCACAACCACTGCTGTTGTTGCAGTCAACCAATCGCGCACCTCGAGGAAGGCGGGTGCGAGCCCGTCTCCTTGGCGTCTCTCTTGGTCACCGGTGAACTCGACGGCCGTGTCCACTCGAAGGATTGCGCCATCAGCGACGACGAAACGAACGCTGGTGAACGTGGTGGCCTGGCCGGTCAGCTTGAGCTTGTTCTGGCTGATCTCCACCGTCGTCCAGTCATCGCACGTGATCTCGGACTCGACCAGCACTCCCTCGATATTTCCTCCCGACAGCGCGCCCGCCGCGCTCTGTAAATCGGCGCAGCTGGCTGTTTGCAGGATAAGAAGAAGAACGGAATGGGGGAGAGAGACGATACCAACCGTTGGATGGAACAGCAGTCTACACCTCGCGCGATCTCCGAGGCCCTACTGAACTGATGCATTGGAACAACAACAGCAGCAGCGATCGCATCGATCGATCTCTCATCAATGCACTCAATCGGAGTCGAGAGGAAAAGAGGGGGCGTCCCCTCGGCGCCTCTCTGCCTGCTTCAACGTACCAATATCCATCTGGGCGACATAGGCCGCGTTCACGAAGGAGGCAAGGTGGGAGAGGAAGACGGCGGTAGCCACGGCGGACTTCATGTTTCGAAGTGACGTCTACTGCTGTAGTTCCTACTTTTGCTCCAGAGAGAAAGGGGAGAGAAGAAGTGAGAGGAGAGAGTGTGACCTTGGCGGTGGGTGCCGGAGGACCTCGATGTAAGTACCCCCGCTAAAAATCGAACAAACTTTTCGAGAATGTTCCAACGGGTTAATTAGTTTGTAATTTAGTTGCGCATGCCGAAAACAGAACTGGTTTCGGTTGTACAATTATTTGTCTGGCGCCCGGTGCCCAGAGGGGGGGAGACGGAGAAAGAGAGAGAGCGAGCGAGGGTGAATGATGGGGGGTGCTGCGTCAACGCCAGCCCGCTTTATCGGGGCCTAGAATTTGGGAGCAGAGCGATACTAAATACATGTACAATAGCAGGGCGGGCTAACTAATCTGATTTTCGTCTTTCTCACAACTCTTCGTAT